TGAATAGATTCTAAAGCTGTTCTAAGGCTCTAGGCCTCTTTCTTACTACTTCAGCTGATTTTTGCGAATCGACACCTTTCTTCCAGGGAAAAGGGGTGGGGAAGATCTGCCCCTGGGAAATTGCTTTCCTCTAAAATCGTCACTTCAACTCCTTTTATTTAGAAGGAAAGCTTAACACATCTTTTCCGTTTAATTTATCGCCACTGACTCCGTTAGTCTTGATCAAAAACAGACAGAAGAGAACAAGCCGGTTGCTCATTGGTGCATTGGGGAGGAAAAAGAGCAAGCAATCCAGAGTCGAGGCATTTGTTTTTGCTAAGCCATTTCTCACACAAGCCCCTAAACCGTATTTTAACCTACCATTGTACTTATGTGTTTGACAGTTTACATTGAAAACAAGTTCTACATAGGTGATCACTTTTCAGATGATCAATTACACTTTTAATTTCAGTCCTGGATGATTACATACAACTGGTGGCAAATCGAAGGAGATCAAGTTCAGGATTGCAGAGGATTTGCCGAGATAAACAAGTTAGAAACATACAGGACTTGTTACAGTAGCGCGAGAAATTGGTAGCCTTACTTTTTCTGCTAGTTGATACCCTGAATTTGACCGCCAGTGTATGAGTGGCGAGGTGACACACTGATCCACTCTGCAATCACCCCATTTGGCTGCATGATGGGCTTGTAAAAGTGACCAATCTTCGAGTGTTTTAGCATTAGGTCAAATGCATGAGAGGCTAAGTCTTCATTCAAGCATTGATCCATCTCACAACATCTTTTACTCGTCTGCCGATGTTAATTGGTAAGCGGTTTCAGGTAGTCGACTCCGCACTGCACTGGAAATTAGTTATGGGTTCGTTCCAACTTTCAAAGCTAGCTTTGCATCCACATTCGCATTCAAGTCTTGTTTGGCCAGTGGTAGCAAGAACGATTATAAAATATTATATTTGTAAGATGTTTTTACCCTTAATTTTTCCCAATTAATAATAGTTCTGTTCAACAAGGTCCTCCATAAAAGGACTATGCAAACTCTTTGGAAAGCGTCACAGATTAGAAGGAAGGGGAGCATCAACGGTAAGAGTGACTCTCTCGTTAGGATAGGAGATAATCTCAGAGTAGCAGTTTTGATCAGGCTCAACCGAAACAGATGTCAACTTTGCCAAGTGGAGCATGCTTACAGATTGAATGAATGAACCATGACAGCTTTCCATCAAATTAGTGAGTGACAAGTCACCGCGAATGCTAAAAACCATAGTAAAAGTTTTTTCCAACTACCGAGTCTCAAAATGCTTTTCGATTAATCAAAATGCTACTTCGACCTTCAATGGGAATTCGTGAGGTTGAACATTTGCACAAGTGAAAGAGGTTGGTAATTTCGCAACAAAATTTGTTACAGGCAGAAGCCTTTTTTTATTCACAAGTAGATACATTAGGCAGCAATCTGATCGATTGACAGTTGTATCATTTCTGACAGTTTATAACACATCAGTGCTAAAGGAGTTCCACGAAAATGACTTTTGTAGAGTTTGTACAAACGAAGTTTAATTGTAAAAGAGACTTCGCGTCTCATTACATCCCAAAACCGACGGATGCATTTGGATCAAAAAGTCCTTCTTCAAACTGTCAAGCAGAAAACATCTTTTAAAGAACCTCTAAAAATTTCACTTTCTAGTTAAGTCAATCCGGAGTAGGTTATGCTGGACTACTTTTCGATCGCATTGTTGGATGTAGATTTGCTTGAGTTTTATGGTATGAGACAAACAGAATTGGAAGTAAATTTGTTCTGTAAATGTTCAAGAAGAGAATTTCTTTTCGACTGCTTTCGACATTCTTTGACACGTGGCTGATGGGATCGCAGTGAACAATCAGCAGCCTTGTCCCATACGAATTGATCAACTTAAAGGCTACTTCAAAAGCAAGAAATGCCATTTCCCTCAAGCCATAAACATCCTACAGCTACTTAAAAATGATAAGGTCGATTAATGGTTTGATTTACGCCAAGCAGTTATTACAAACTACCACGTCTTTGTAACAAAAGGCTAAGACCTACGCTTGACGCTGGTAATGAATGCGCCTGTGGCACAGAGCTACTGGTCAGATCTTTTCAATCCCGTTCGCCTATCACTCCGTAATTTTTTTGATGTGGCAGGTCGGAAAAAGCCCAAACTCCATGTCCAAAGCCAGTCCACTCTCTCTTCATGTGCGTGTATGTGGGTTTCATCATCAACTCGATACTCTTCAACCCTGTGTTGGTGGATAGTGATGATGTAGTTGATGAGACGAAATAAGTGCAGTAAGAGTAGGGTGAGAAGGAGGAGGAAAAGAAGGAGGAAATTGTTCCATAGTGTCATTCTTAATCGGAGACGCGGTCTGTCCTCGTTTGCACCTACTCAGGCCACATAGACCCACTCTCCATCTTTCGCTTTAGAGAAAGAATAAGTTGTTTTGATATATCCGTCACTGGCCGATTCAAAGAAGACAGCCCTCTCTCCCTATTAGCCAATGGAGAAGTGTACAGGCGGTGAACTCCATTAAAGTCAATCTATTCAGAAATGTTACATCAGGGAGAAGTTGATGTTAATTTGTTTGCGGGCCCGAGTAAAGTGAGCCAATCACGAGTGAGATGAAAACTTCTGGATGAGTTTTGTGGCAATCGGTTTCACTCTTTATGTGACCAGGGTGACCTTCGACAATTCTTTCTTGTAAAAAAACGGTTACCATAGCCTATGCAAATGAAAAGCGGTTTTTTTGCTAGCCACCCAGCTAATAGTGAATCATGTGTCATTGTTAGTGAAAATGAATTTTCAACTTCATCCACTTGTGCCCCAAAATTAATCCCATGATTTTCAACTTCACGTCGCGTTTCTCATGCCTTTTTTTACTTATCGGACAATTGTTGATGGTAGACCGAAAACCCGTTTCCCATCGCCATCCATTCATCAGTAGTCCGTCATTTTTCAGCACCTTTTTCTCCCGTCTCCATGATGGGAGACGAGGGCGTTGTTGGTGGACGCTTCGTTAAATCTTACTGCTCAAAATTACTGTCCTTTTTAGTAGGCACCAGAGTATATGAAAAATGATTATTATTTGTCACAAAGATGAGTACAATTTTTAGTGATTTAATTAATTTTTCTCTACATTGGCGTAGGCTTTGGCTGCAGAGGATTTAGTGTTTACTATCCTGGTGCTTTGGGATAGCAGTTAAAGGCGTTTTCATTTTGTCAAGGCCCAATCCCCTGGTTTGAAAATGCTTCTTCTGGGATAGCATTTGTAGATGATTTGACGATCAGCAAGTACAGCGAAGAAGAATCATCCAGAGAAAGTGGACACAAAGCAGCCCTAGTAAAAAAGCAGAATTTTAAGCAGTAGAAATGCCTTGTAGTACCACCGCTATTTTTCTCATTGGTAGGTTAAAAGTGAATACATCCTCGCCACCACTTTCACCAATCAATGCCTATGTTTTTAATTTCGTAATTTAAGAACTTTAAATAATTCTTACTAAAAATGTTTTACTTTAATAGGTGCTACCTTCCTAAAGGAGCTCTCGTCTAGCGATAGCATAATTTTAGGTGCCGTTGAATTATTGCAAACGGTGCTTTGTTAACTGCTTCGTCTTCTCAGATAATGAGTGATTTGAAGTTTCCGAGGGTGGAAAAAGGGATCCTTGGAAGTCCCACCTGAGCGTGAAGGGGTGAAGACGACAAAATTGTCTTATGATCTTAATTCCCTCATTTGTTTAACCACACTTTCGTACTTCGGCTGGACGGCATGGTCCAAGGGCCATGCTAGTGGCCCCCTAGTCCATCTGTACGTCTGTAATACATATTCTGCCCGTTTGTTATGCCTTCCTTCGTGTTTAGGGAGGGCTTGGAGGAATACATTGGTGGCAGCAAAAAGTAAACTTGATTCTATAGGACAACTACTCCGAATTCTACTACTAAATGTCAAACCTTAATGTGATGGAAGACGGGGATACATGGGGGTTGGGGGAATGGAAGGGTTAAAAATGACGTCTTGCCTCGGCAACTACCGCAGCCCCTTGTTCTGCAGGAAGGCTACTAACAACTGAAGTGACACTAGTCCTGACCATAAGCCAATTGGACAACTTCGTTAAGGAGTTGTCTACCATACCCATATAAAGATGACAATCAAGTAAACACGCGGCACCTCTTCCTCCACCTCTCCACTGGCTGGATAGAACCCAGATGTTTATGTGGCTGGGGTGTAATAAAGTGGGACCAAATTGACAGGTTTGAATGGAAGTGAGACCTTATCCCCTCTAAATCATTATAAACTCTGTTTCGCATTCAATGACTGTTCTTGGGTCCGCGTTCTTATGACTAGCGTTGGACACACGTGATGGTAAGCACATACTTCAGTCTCCGAATCCATTTCTCAGATAGGCTGAAGCTCTAGATCCAGTGGAACTGCCAAGAGGGATCAGTAACCTAGCAACTGGATGTCTTCTCAGATGCGCGCAATTTCGAAGACTGACGCGGCTGGCTAGTGGGTGTGTTTCCTTACAGAGCCGACTACTTTGTGGTAGGCAGTGCGGAAGGTTGTTTAAATCTTATTTTCTGCTCCTCGGGAACTTAAAGGTCGACAAGGCATTTCCTTCCCAAACATCATGACCTCTTTTGGCTTCAGGAAAATTTCGAGGCACTACACTTACTTTTTTGAAAATCCTTTTTACTCTTAGGCGTAGATTTCAAACGTTTAAATGCATGCAGCAGCAGATAATCATGCTACTCATACAATTTATTTTAAGCTTGGCAAACCTGTACTTATACTACAAAATAGTTCAACAAAAAATGCAAACAATAAGAAGATAATGGAATTGAAGCAGCCTTTTTAGCAACATAACAATCGCGGTTTAGTAATCTGTGAAAAAGGGTGGAGATTTTAATTTTTCGGTGATAATGACAACTCTCAAACCATGAAAGGGTTCCGGAGGGACGATTGTGCGGATACTAACAGTCTATCAATTATCAGGGCTAATGGGAAAACCGATGACAGTGATGGACGACTTTTCCTACATGGCGGTAGTCGTAATGGTAACAGGGCTCCGTCAACATCTCTTCCATCTACTGCCCTCATAGCGCAGCATCGAAAGTGAAGGCGCTCTCTCCTACCTCTGCTGGCGCGCCTTGACGCAGAAACCAGGCACCCTCCAAGCATCTCACCAACAGAGCTTGTCGCTCAGCCTGGTCTGTGTCGCAATACGTTGTAACAATCTAGTATGGAGGCCATAAAGCAGCTAAAAAGGACCGTGTGGTTTTTGTATGTATTCAATTGCTTCCTAGGCCGCAGTGGTAAATTTGCATAACCGAATCAGTTCAGGTTTGAATGTAGCAGAAGAACATGCGGAAAAGTAAGTGCGGTGGATACGCCTTGAAAAGTGTTTTTTTTTTCTGTGAAAACCATGCCGTCGGAGTGAGACATTTGGAAATAGATGACTGTGCTGGTCATGATGTCCTGACGGAAGAGGGAGCAAATTCACACATTATACTAGCATGTGCGGCATTTGCAGTACTGCCATTGAGAAAATGCATAATTTTGCATTAAGCTCGTTTTCCCTGATGGGATAGTTTTCTTCTAGTAGTGTCGGGATGGAGGGGGTGGGGCTAAGTAAGCGAAGCCAACAAACTTTCAGTTTGTGAAATTTGTAAAGGCGACTGCTGAAGTGTGAAGCTGCAGCCACGGCCTCCCATTGAGAAGAACCAGTATACAAGGCGGTTGTGAGTCCAGCTAGTTGGTGGACTGGTTAGGAAGTAGTGGGGCGAAGGACAGTGTGTCTAATGAGTAGTGGAGGAACGCACGTACATTATTTAAGGAGGCGGGCAAACAGATACGTTTGCTCCTCTCCATCTTCTCCTTTGGTCAGTCAGCGGTGACAACGGTGGGGAAAAACGCACAATTATAATGGTTTGTTAGGTGGGAAATGTTTTTGTATAAACGAGCTCATATCGGGGAAGGAGGAGGAGAAGGAATTGGTCTGAGTGGTCGTGGGAGGGTGTTGAATTCCCACGCACAGTTTAATCCTTACTTGGATGAATAATAGTGCTCACTGTATCTGAAGCATGCCTCCCTAAGTTTTGATCCTCATAAATGCGAAGGGCAACTGAGTCCAGCCAGGACATCCGGGGTCAAGGTTTATGAACACCACGCACGCAAGCAGGCGATTTACCTGTTGAATAAAATGCTTAGGGTTGTGAATCCACCCAGCCGTCGTTGAAACTCCTAAAGCATTCTATTCAAGTGAGCATTAGTGAGTCTCTGGGTGTTTTCTCTTTTTCTCTAACATGGAATTTGGCTCATGACCAAAAGCTGTTACATGCACACACACATACACCCTACCACTTGTCTGCCATCATGTTTAGCGTGTCTGGACTGACCCATGAAAGACGTGCACTCACTATTGGCACTTGTAATAGGCTAGACGTGGCATTTACCTGCCTGTCACAGATAATCATCCTTTAAAAGGCAAAATTACTTCAAATCTCCATCACTAGCTGAACATCGCCACCAAATTTGGCTTTTATTCCTACCTCCTTTAAGCGCCCCGAAATTTATTTTGTTCAGTCTCAAAAACACACCCAATCCAATACGCGACATGGACTCTCAGGCTCATAGCGTGATATGCCATCGAGTAAATTTTACGCATGAAATTTCAGCTCTCCCATGGAAAACATTAATTCGGCTAAGATACGCGGCGCGTTACTACTGACAATACCAAGAAACGTTTTATTGACTGCTTAACAGCTCCGGATCAGAAGAAGGCTAAGGCCAATTATACATTCTGAGAATTCGCCAGCCTTTTGCGTAGTAGAAAAAAAGAATGCATGATTTAGTAGGCATACCTGCCAGCGGCTTGAATGCGTCAATTATCCGCCTTTTCTCTTTCGTAGTTTCACATGCCTTTCTCGCTGCGCCTTTGTTGGCAATGAGATAATGACGAGACTGTCAACTTGATGTACCGCACTCAGCAACGGTTCTGCTGATTGAGTTCTGCTTATCATTCTTGGATGTAGAAATAATTTCACGGCCTTTCTTCATGGAACATCGGTAACTGCATTGTCACTGTTAACTATTACTTGAAGAGAATATCTTGAAAGCATTTGAAAAAGTACGAATTGTGCGTTAAATGGATAAGCAATCGAGCTCACTTTGCTGTAATATTGGTAGAGGATTTTTAATGCAACAAGTTTTAATCACTAAATCTGTTTATTCGTTTTCCTTGATTTTAATCCGAGAAATTACTGAGAGACTGCATTTTTCCTATGGAGTCTCCGTGATTAGGCGTCTGCGACACTTTGTTGTGTAACGTGAAAGTAGACGCACTTTTGACAGTGTTATCTACTCAATTCATAAGAGTTGGAATATAGTTTTATCAAATGACCCATTCTGCACATTTTTGTTACGTGAGTCCAGAAGTGCATCAACCATCAAAGCCTAAAAGCTTCGTTGTCCTAAAACAACAATGTCTTCCAAAAACCAGAAGAGGATACGATTATCATGCAATGGAACGTATTTTTGCTTTTCTGCAGTCAACATAAATTCATAAAGAACCCGCGTCACATATTTGTGACGTCTGTAAAGGTGTCAACAAATGTAAATACATATTATTAGCTGCTGCATTTAAAGTAATTTGTACCTAATTTAGCACAATTTTTTCTTGAGAATAATGAATTATGCTATTTATTACAATATCTCTGCTTTTTTTCCTAATTTCAAAGTTAAGAGGGAATATGCACGTTATAATTTGTATAAAGACTTTGGTGATAAGAAAATTACATTTTATTGTAAAAAAAAATTTTGCGAAAGTTGCACTCTACAGCGTTGGGATGATGATCGACGTTTTATTCAAATCATAAATTCCAAGTGTTTTTTATCTATCGAGAGATTCCCATCTGCCACCGATTTCCGCAGAAAGCCATCTTTTTGAAACCACGAAGCCAATGGCAGAATTGCATCATACTGCTCCTCCGTGCCATATAAACGTTCTTAGAGTTGCTTTAACTCTGACATGTCCTTGAAATTAGTTTGCTCAAGCAAGCCAGATTTAAGTGGGAGGCGAAAGATTGGGAAAATGAAACGGCGTTTATAAAAAGCAATTGGTTTTACTAATAGTTCTTTAATCTAAATGTTTTATATTTGTTTCCTGAACGTTGAGTTTTCATACAACTTAAAAGGGACTGCCAAACGATACAACAACTAGGATGCTGAATCTTTGTACCCTTATTTACCAAAGTTTGTGCTGCGTTTTAGAACTATGCGTTTACTGAAAAGGTTACGTTTTCATTACTTAAATAATAGCCACGTATGGGCAAGGCCTAATGATATTAATGTATTTTTCATAAAACACGGCGGATGAAATGGACCTAGCGCAGCTCCAGATCTAAGCTGGTGTTATATTTTTGGCTCTGCTGTGGTTGTTTAAGGTTATTTTGGCATCACAGGCCTTGAGCCATGATTTGATGAGCCCTCCTTTCTATAGATTATACATCCTATACAAGGCTTGGCGAAGCATCCTACCAAATAATCAGGTAGAACTCGATCGCTCTCAGAGATCCTACTAAGGTTTAAAACACAATATATTAAAATTTGTTCAATTCTCTTACTTTTATCGGTCGAAGTTTGTCTTTGATGACTTGTCTGATAATTTGGCTACTGTACTTTTCCCGCATATTCCATTAAGTATATCATCCAAAACAAGTAGAAATCGACACATAACCTTCGCAAAGAGACTATAGCTAGGTGTTAGATACCAATGAACGTCCCATCAAGTTAAAGAAGAAGGAACGTCGTTCTTGGTAAGCTTTGACTATAATTGCAGATCGGTTCATTGCAGGAATAAAGTAACCGTCGGGAATCTCCAATTCTGCTAACATCTACTTGGGCAATATTGATGTTAATTGGATAGATGATTCCGGGGCCTCCAAAGTGGTACCATGGAAATGTACTAAAAGTTTTAAACTCTTTTACTTGTAAAATGAAGCAGTTTTCCGACTACTATGCCCCAAAACTTATTCGAGGAGGTAACTCAGGTGCCACCAAGATGAGTACAAAAAGCTTCCTTAAGACCCTGCTTACAATCATCCTGTTTTTTCACTAAAGTGGCAGGTGCAGTTACACTACTACCGCCTATGCAGTGATTAAATGAAGCACATTAAATACCACCTGTCACCCACTACTGCCTATCACAGGTACTGTGCACATGGGGGTGTTTTTTAACATCACTAACATGTGCCCCGTGCCCCATGACTGCGCCTTCTCTTCCGTCATTTACCCTCACCTCGCCATGACTATGTTGACAGTGATGATCTGAGGAGGGAGACATAATATGCCTGGCTATATATGACAGATGATTAGCTAAAAAGTGTTCTTTCCTGGTGTTAGCTCTTTCAACCAAGTCAGCAAAAAGCACGCAGTGAGGTGCGATGCTATGAGATGGAGTGAGGAGAACAAAGAACGCACCGACGCTGTGCTTGTGTGCTAGTTGGGATGATAAATCTTCCAGTTTATTTTTGACGGAAGGTAGGAACTCAATTGCAGGCCACATACTAGAGAGATGACACTTTTTGACATTCTCGAACAATCATTCGAAATCTCCAGGGCGACAGACAAGATTGTTGCTGAGGCGATTGAATAAACTCATATGGAAGGGCAATGCAGACATTGAATTTTACAAACCACGACTACGCTTAAAGTACTCAGTGGAGAGACTAAAATCCCTTCAGGATAAGGAAAAAAGAGTGCCTCTTGTGGTTAGTTCTCACGGCAAATGAAAGGTCAACTGGGCTAGCTACTTCCGTGGTCTTGCAGGTCGAGTTGAATGTTAATAGACATTAACCAAGACCATCAATTTAAGCCCAAAAACGCGGCATTGAAGTCAGCCAAAAAACTAGAAAGTGCTTAAAACCCATCCTTGTTCTTCTTTACCTCAAAATCCCCCGCTCTGATGAAGTAAAGACCACGGAGAGACAAAATCTGCCAAAGACTTCGCAGACCCAATTCAAAATTATGTGAAACTTCTTCTTTTTTTTACACGGATGCTGAAGTCCTTGTAGGCAACCAAATCATTTAGACCTACTTTTGTGTCAGCGCAGTACCATCTGTCAGCATCTTTGCATGTGAGTTAAAATGAAAATGGCGTAACCAATGGGATCCATGTAAACCCTCTCAATTCGCGCAGCAACCCAAGTGGAGGGGTTGCAAAGAACAGTGAGCATGACTTGGAGCAACCAGAATTTAAAAATGCAGGTTGGATAACTTTGATGGGGTATCTATATTCAGTTGCATGGGAGTGATTTTGAGGAGCAAAGTAGAATTGCAACACGTCTGCTTGGAGGAACAGATGGATAAGAGCTGCTAATTATGGAATCATTTCTGAAGATTCAGCATGGATTTGAAAGGTACCAGGAGTGCCTTAAAGATTGGATTTGTCTATCCTCCATAATGCAGCCCCGAAGGATGTAAAAGTAATTGAACATTTTTTGTTTAACATTACCCAAGAATTTACAGCTTCGATGAGGTGGAAAGCAAGAATTGCACATTCGGCGAGAGGTGGTGGTATTGTAAAAACTCACTTTTCATGAGCAAATGAGATAAAAGGATGGAGATTAGTAGGTGGCACACGTTCAAAAGTTTTGTGTCCAAGGGACCTGAAATAGCACAACGATGGAGGGACTAGCTTGCCCCTTGAGGTGCACTTGAGGCAAGTGAACACTGAGTGAATGAGTTTTCCACCTCCACAAACAAGGAGAACAATGAATGAATATTCCAAAACTTGTCTTAGTACACGATTAGGCAGGTCAGGCGACGTCTACCTGAAAAGTAGAGGATTAACTGGGCTTATTCAAGTGAGGAGAATGAGGTGGCCGAAAAAAAAGACCAGTAGAAGTAGGAGTTTTGGTGTTAATCCGCACCAGTCTAATACGATGAGGCAGTAATGATTGGACAACTGCTTCTAATGTCACCAGGGGTAAATTAAAGTCTTCAAGTGATAAAAACACGTTTTGAAAGGCAAAAAAAGGCAAAATAGCCCTGCCTACTGCGGCAAAAACTTACTACTTCTTTGCTAATTTCGTAGAATACGGATGAGATCCATCCCATTGCCACGAATATTAAATAAATGATTTAAAGTCAATTTTTGCTTTAGAAAGTAAGTCCAATGAAACACTCATCGTATTTAAATGGGCGAATTAGCGTTCCTTGTGATAAATTTCTTTGCATGACCTCCATCAATTCCAAATCATTTTTAATAAACGGCTGGAGGGTGGCCCAGGAGGAGATGAACCAACGGCAATTGTGAAGGCATAGCTGCTGTGCTGTCGCCTGCGTACTACGAGGGCACACACACAAAAGGTATTTGCCTGAAAAAAACACGGTTACTTCTACTGCTGATGGTGATGGTGATGAAGGAGGCGAAGGAGGTTTGCACAATCAATCACTGTCCATTGAGGGCGAGAGCTTCTTTAGCACACACACACACACAAACTGAGAGTAAGATAAATTACCCTTGTTAGTGCATGGCCTCCTCTGAAGGAAGACGAAAAGGTGTTGCCCCTCACTGCCTGTTTCTCCTTTTACGCCAAAACGGAGTCCCATTCGTACGTGGCGAAGTGATTCTAAAAGGGAATCGGTAATCCGGAGTCATTCAATATTGTGGATTATGCAGCCAGAGAAACCGATGATGAGAGCACAAACATTCTTTAATATCTAGCACAAATCAGTCTGAAAATTGTCAATAGCTCCAAAGAGCGATTCTAAATACCAAGCGAATTGGTTTAGAGGAATCTTACACACTAACCACGTGATCTAGACTCAAGTCAGTATCCTGATGCATTAGCTACCCAAGTCTCGACCCACCGGTTCTTTCCCTCACGTCAAAAGCCAAAATAATTTGACTGTCATCAGGTCAATAAGAAGGTTCGTTAAGACCACAGGTATCGCATATCGATAGAGAACCCATGTCACACATACGTGACGTCAGCGGTGGATGTTAGACATCAATTGGTAAAATGAAACAAACCAAGTTTTCATCAAGAAGTGAAATTGCAAGGTAAATGCAAATTGTGAAATACAACTAGTGCTACAAATCACCGTCTACGTGCCTTCTTTTTCTTTATCTTTCTAAATGAAAATTTTTAATTTGCCAGGCTTTTAAATTCAACCATACCAATGTGCCAGTTTGCCGAAGGCACGGTAACAAAAGGAGTGTCAATGGGATGAACCATCGTGACGCTTCATCGTATACTTTGCCCTTCACTGATTACACCATCTGTCGATTTATGTTTCCCCATAAGTGGTTCATTTGGTAGACCCTTGATGTATGCTTGACGTTCTGATTTAAACCTGACAACATCTGTTTGCGATAGATAGTTGCAAAAGCAGACCGGTTGAGTTTAAAACAAGGAAAGAGTGGTAGAACGGTCCAGGTCTACGAAGATTTATTTAAGTTTTTTTTTCACTTTTTGGGAAATTGAACAACAACTTGCATCATATTAGCAAAATACCCCTTCGGCCTTTTAACCAGCTCAAGTGTTCACCCCCTCTGCTAATGTAGAGAAGTGGTGGAGAGCTTGTGCCGAAGTAACATGAACAGATCGTCATATCACCGAGGAGCTGGTAGAAACCAGTGGAGCCTGAAAAGTCCATTTATCGAAGTAGACAATTTAAACAAATGACTTTTTATTACGCTGCATTTACTGTAGAATCACTGAGGCATGAATTAAAATAAGTCACTTCAATCCCTCCGTGTCTGAGGCGTTGTAGTGAGTATATAAACCAAACGCGTTTGGACATTTAAATTGGTGGATAATTCAACCTCCATACTAGAATTGCAACCTGTCAATCTAACGTGTCAACTATCCATTCACCCATCAATCTATCCTCAGCGAGTGGGGTGGTCCCGATTGTCAATCAAGAGCCCTACCTCTGCCTCGTTGTGGTGTGGAGGGGGTGGGGAGGGGTGAGGAAGGGGACAACGCCAGACTTTTAAAATTATGTCATCCACAAATCTTTCCGCCTTTTGGTAGGCCTGTTTTCAAGATGTCATTCAGTCAGTCATTTAGACAGCCAGTTAGTCAATCATTCAGTCAGTTAGTTGGTGACAATCTCTGCGACTTGTTAAATCGCGATTTCTATGACCGAATGAGGCATTTGTTTTAGTAAATAATAACAGACCCGCGGGACCTAAACAATAATAATGATGATTATGTGGTTCTGACGTGTCAACAAAGTGATCTAATTTTTGCCACTTATCTGATTTACATGAAAGTAATACATTTCTGACAGCAGAAAATAAGGGAGCTGAGCGGATATGAAATTATAAACATAACGCATCATCGAAACATGTTCATGCTAACGCCATATCTGCTTACTCTAGTAAAGATGCGTCTACCTCATGCAGTGGTCGTGTAAATAGGAATCTCAACTGTTTTAAGGACCGGCCACAATCATAAAGGGTGTTATTTTTTCCAAAAAGTGCTGATTACTTGCATAGTGTGAAGATATCCCACTTCCAACAAAGAACCATGGCCCCTCGCACCAGCTCTGATTGCACTCCGCTTAAAGATGTGAAGGGTTGAATTAATTATTATCCCACTTCCGGCCCCTCCTTTAGACTGTCATTTTACTTGGCATCAGGCCGTCACCTCATACACACACGCACCCACGCATCATCCTGAGAAGGGTTTAAATGACAAGATGCTTGCATCTGGGCCAGTGGAGAGGACCGCTGGACTCCCGTTGTTGGACGACAGGATTCTCAAGCCTTAACCGCCCTTTCTTCCTCCTTGGGAAAAATGAAACTAATTTTTGGATGTCAGCTGTGAATTATATCTCGGGTGACGACGCGCTACACTTTCAATCCCAAGACTTACGAAACACTTCCTACTTTGAGATTTTAAAAGCTCATTTTCTAAAATTGCCTCCCATCAAGCTTGTTTCGTTTGTCGAACGCATTATCCTTGGGCATAAAAACAAAAAATTAATGCGTGATTGTGGAGGTCGACATGGATGCAGTCATGATCCTTTCAATCAAATGATCCTAAAGTCAATAAGACCTCCACAATCTTCAAAGGAGACAAATTATCTCAAGTTGATGTCTAATAGGTGCACCATTTCGCCTGGAAAGCGAGCCATTTGAATTACGCGACTCCCCTGAACTCTGGTGCTTTTGAATCGCTTCCTTTACATAATAGAGGACGTGCGTCTGACGATTGGGTCTACGCCACGGCCTGATTCTCCCAATCCTATAGTGTTATACTACCCATTGAATTTACGGGAAGAACCAAGTTGGTAAGAGTAAAAAATAAGTATGTTGGTGTATTCGCTTTGTCAATCAAGCCGCCAAAACTTTCTCCTCTCTCCAATAGGATGGTTTTAAGTCGTGGCGATTATGGCTTTGTAACAGTCTTCACACCACTACTTGGTGTTGTAGTCATGCTTCCAGGTAAACCTCTGAGCAGGTTTAAGTTTAAGAGACACAGGGAAGAGAATATTACGGGCAGCAGTACTGCGGGAATATTTCATCTGGGAAGAACCGTATTACTTGTACATCCGACTGATGGATGGTTTTATACATCAAGCACTCCACTCAAACCACGCTTCGAAATGTCTTCACCTCACCCTATCTGCAATAATTGGTTCTCAAACATAGAAAGCTGTTTGGGATGATAATGTCTCAGAATGATGCCACTGTTTGGGAACAGCATGAGAAATCGCCTAATATTCAAAGGGATCCAACCTTGGAGATGCTGTCGTTGGTGGCTAAGGCGTCAGAAGTAGCAGACAATTTTAATGATTATCTCGATTTGACCAAATGGAAGTAAATATGTCATCTACAAAAAATTTGTATTCCGTTAACAATTCTAGTTCCCAGGTAGCTGATGTAATACGCATATCCGCCGATATACGGTCTACACCCAACCATTTTGAGCCTCTGCATAAAGTCTTAATTGGGTGGGTTATGAGCAATAAAAAAGTCTATGCTCCTCCCATTATGGGCTTGATATTGTGAAACAAAAAAACAAATTTGCTCCAGCACATCGAGGAAATAGCAGTAAAGGCGATTTAACCATATTTATAAAACTGTCCCGAGTAACGCCCCAATTAGAGTCATTAAGAAGCAGTGAATTGCCTGAATTTAGAATTAGACAAAAGAAGATTTGAGCATTTTTTGGATAAGGAGGAGGAGGAGGAGGAGGAGGAGGACAAGGAGGAGGGGGAAGAGGAGAACACCGTTGTCTTTAGGCTAAATGGATGTTATGCTTGGCTTTTTTTCACTGCGCTTGTCACACATACACACACACCCAGAGGAGAAAAACTGGGCTGCTATGACAGCTGTCCAAAAGTCCTCTTTGTGTCTACGACAACAGAATGAGCAGCGCCTTTATTTCGACATCGCTGCAGAGTTAACTAACCAGTGAAATTAATTTAGCAATCAGCAGCCCCCTATTTACGCTCGCCTGCATTCGTATGACGCGACTTTATGAGTTCTGATGAAAAATTGTTTCATATACGGAATTTAGCACTCTCTTGCGGAGCCCTTAAAGATGAGAATCTTGTCAATTTTAGGAGGCTGGGTGCTACTGTAGTACGCTAATTGTCTGTTTTGGTAAAGGGCCACTTAGGAGGCTTTACCACATTACCTCAGCCCGGTGGCCAAGCTTTTTGGGCGTGTCAGTAGCTCCATCCCCTATTGTAAGTGGAAAATGTATAGTCTCCCAGAGTATAAGGGTCTTTTTCTCGAATTTAGGAAAGTCTTGAGGAGCTACAGCTACCCTGAGTTTAGTATATTCAAGATCTAGAACTTGGACATTTTCGCAGTCCTCGTTTTCTTGTTCGAGCATGCTTTAAGTGAAAATGGATGATAGGATGCAGAGGCATCTAACAGCCTAAAGTGTGCTGTTAACCACCAATCCATCTTTTGCCTATTTACTTGAAACACAAAGAAGGAAGATCGTTAAAACTAGTTACATGCGTCTTTGTCAATCTTTTATTGACCATTATCGATAGCTATAATCTAAGAATTATAATAAAAAAAGCCTCAGTGAGACTAATCTATTAGCAGGCTACTAAAATCAAGACTAGTGATACAAATGCATAAAATTTCCTAGGCTGCACCATTTATAACTCTATGCTCATCTAAATCTATTCAATAGAGGAGGAAGATTGGTAGCATCGCATGCATTTTGTGAATTCACCTAAGATGCGTAAGTTTTACGATTATTATTTCCATGTAACTTAATTATGAGCTATCTTGGAGGCTGGAGTAAATTATTTTAAGATATTTACCGAGCATAGGACGCTCTTACACGGAGTCGAAATTTAAGGATTTATATGTGGATAAAAAATCAAAAAACTTTTACATCACAAGTGTGACAGTTTATGTCCCTATTTGTACATTAGTAGGGTAAGCGTGGTATTTTAGCTCTTCGTTTCCTATTATTAGGAAATTATGACATTTGTTTTTGCAATCAAAATAAAAAATATGCGCTTCAACAAAAAAATTAAGATAAATATTATTTAGTTCATGGTAGTCGTGGCACTTCTGTTTTTTTTCAGTTCTGGAATCAGGACCTGCACCAGATTTCGTGAGCGAATTCTCCTCTCAAGGTTATCAGCTTATCGACTACCTGACCCAGCCTTTGGTACATATTAACCGGCATGTTCAATCTGTCGAGGAATCTTTTTAGGATTTCAAGGTCTCTACCCACCTGTCAAGGTGAGGATGCTTCCTCCGTGTTCTATTACTAATTAACCAAAGCATGGAGATCTCTCTTTATTCAATGGAGTGAGACACCAAACCCGAACAGTCGCAAATTTGTTCCAGGCACGTCTGTACTGGGCACTGGCACCATGGATTTTCAAACCAAAGAGAGCACGGTCATTTCCCCCTTGGCTAGGTAATTTGCACAATGTCATTCTTTCCCTACTTTTAGAAATCTCTTCCAAATCGCAGGTGTTGCGGGTGTTTTCCTTGGCCCCGATTTTGTGACCGTTACTAAAGCTACTGATGCCGACTGGGTTGTAATCAATCCCGACGTATTTGCTTGTTTGATGGACTTTTTCACTGCAGGAACTCCTGTTGTTAACGATGTTTATGAAGAAGGTTTGCCTCTTAGCGTCTTGTTTTCACATGCCTATGTTATCTAGTCGTTATACGCATAACCTATTTTTAAAGCCATTGGAATAACTGTCTGAACTGTCACTTATTTCTCATATGAAGTATGTCAGTCATATGTGATGATCCCGATTTCAGGTAAAACGTTTGGCGTTTTACCTAAACACGTTAGAACAATTCGTTAACTAAATACAAACGTCACTGCATATATGCATTTAAAGTCTGTGGCATTACATGTTGCAAACTTTTTCCGGATTTGCCATGTTTACAATTTCACTGCTGGACTGGTTTCAGTTTTACTTGGTGAACCAAAATTTTCCACCTAACGTTCCGTTTCGTTATTCGAGCATATAGTATTTCCGTACGATGATGGATGGCAATCCTACTTTCATGTCGCCAGGATTCTTTTCGTTATGCTTATAAATACATACACCTTGGTTTTCTAGTGGCCAAACGACAAAATGGGTAGATTACAGACAAGCACTTAAATTTAACAAGCTTATATTCCGTTTCGGGCTCGAAATTTTTGCCTTTGCAAACAATTCTTGGACAATGAATCTTCGGTTTTGGCGTCTTTGTGGGTAGTTTCCTTTATTTATACCAAATGTTCTGGGTGCACTTGGATTGTCGATTAAGTCTATAATCACTTTAGAGTTATCCAGTACAGAATTATTAGCTAGTATAAATACGTTTGACCATGTTTTGTTTTATCGTCTTCAGAGAATACACATCTTGCTGTTCTAACACAAAAATGCATCGTTCTTTTAGATGTCGAAGAGGATGAAAACGAGGATTCAACTGTATCGATGATAAAGGAGCTCCTGGATAGTCGCATCAGGCCAACTGTTCAGGAGGACGGTGGTGATGTCATTTTCATCGTAAGTAATCTCAAATCGGAATAAGTAGCACCTCTTTGAGACCCCTCTTATCTGGTCTACTGACCATTTTGAGATAAAAGTACTATCTGATGGAATTTGGAATTCTCTGACCGGATTTAAAAAGAGCTAATTTTAAAGTATTACCACGAGGGCGTTTGCGGCCTGCGAAAAGGGCGGATGATGTCTTTAAACGGATTGATCACTAGCAGTCACGTCCTCACTTCTACAGAAACTTTCAGGTCAGTACACGACCCACACGTGAAAATAGCACTAGTACTTATAAAAGACCAAGCCAATCTGATATTGTCCTTCTCATGCTTACCAAGTAAATCGGTGTTCTTCTATCGCTACACCTACAAAGTATTACATTATCTTTACAGCACAACGATGGTAGAACCCTTAGACCTTTCTAAATGTGACTAAAAACGCTTTTTTGGTATGGCTGATGCGGTCGGAACTGTACCTGCCTTGCATTGGGATTGGTAGTTAAGATAATCAAAATACGCTCCTTTATCGCCACGTGCTTTATAAAAGCCACAACTGCTAATATTAATGTTAATTATTAATAGGAGGCGTAAATGAATGCAGTAACAATGTTACTTTAACCAATTAAGCTATCCTAAGCTGTGACGAATCACATACTGACCTAAAATGGCGAAATTTTTGACAGTCTTTTAGTGTGGCACACTGAAGAGAACCAAAACTACGAAATTATGCATTTTTCGCACGAATGTGCAGTATTCTAGTGACTGACCAATGTCTTTCTCTTTTCACCTACCCACCCGCGGGGTGGATGCAGGACTTCAAAGACGGTGTGGTGTACCTGAAAATGCAGGGTTCCTGCACCAGCTGCCCCAGCTCTATAGTTACACTGAAGCACGGGGTGCAAAACATGCTCCAATTCTACATTCCTGAAGTGGAATCCGTGGAACAGGTGGAAGACCCCGTCTCCCAGGAGGCCTTCGACAAGACTGAGGCTGCCATTTCTGCTGCCAATGAAGAGCAGGAGGGACAGTCTACTCCCACTTCCGGGAAGTTAGACCACTAGCAGTAGTCAAGCCTCCTCCCCCTGTGTATTTGTTTGGCCTAACCTGTACGCCTCCATTGCATTCTCTTCTATTATTTACACCCACACAATCAGTTCCAGCGTACTTTTGATATTTCGTCTCCTTTTTACGTTATCGTTTGAATAGTTATTTTGGCGCGATCCGCGCGGGACGATAGGAAGTCGAGGATTCGTCCATTTTTCGAATCGAGGCCCCAAAGTATCGGTAAAGCAGTCGAAAATACTACACAAGTGGTCGGCGGGGTGTGTCAGTGTGTTGACTCGGTGGAACGAAGAAATTGAACTAGGAAATGGCGATCAGTGACAATTTGGAAGTCGTAGTGGGGTGAACGCTCCTATCACATGAAAGTGCGAGTTTGTGACGAGGTTTAAAGTGTGCCACCACTTCGAACGCGTTGAGCCGCGGATTACAAGCATCTAACAATGTCCTGTAATCAGTACTTACAAAACCACTTCCCATTTAACCATCAAATAACAATACAAACTATTCACTGATATCAATCGTATCATATTGCCTTAATTTAAAAATTAGCATTATGTACAAGAACACAAATGCAGACACCATCAGTATCAATCAGCAATTTTGATTGTCGGCACATCACCGTTCTTCCCACAACTTGATGCATCCAGGGAATTTGGGGCATTGAAGAACTCGTAGGCACCAATAAGGTTGTTTAGGCTTTCAGCAGCGCTCTCGAGAGCAGACGATGCCTCAAAGCCGGTGACGGCAAGGTAGTGGTGGAGATGCGCCCTCTTGCGGAACAGTATGCGCAGACGGTTGAGCACCGAGGTGAATGGCACAGCAATGGCAGTGGAATTGGAGAGCGCAAGGAGCGCCGATTGCTGACCTACCGGCGGTACCGCGCAGTGACCCACCTTCCAGCCCTCACGGTTCCATGCCACAAAACGTAATCGCTCCTGTAATCTGTCAAAAGAGGAAAGAGGTAGTCTGAGAGAGGAGAGAGCAGGCAGCGCCTACCGATCGATATTGCGACGGAGGTCGGAGGCGAAGCCGTGGCCACGGAGGAGGAGTGAAGTCGCCAAGAAAGTGTGCTCACGTGGATTGGTGCAGATCAGCTGGTAGTCACGGGAATAGACATCCTGGTAGATCTGGTCGATGCTTAAGAGGCAATTGCAAGTCAAACTCTAGTAGAGCAGATTTGCACCAAAGCGTTCTCTTTTTGAAAATAAAAGGCGGTGAGACCTCCCCCAAAAATTAACATTTTCAATTAACCACCTTTATGCGTTTAAAAAGTGGAAACATTCATAAACAAATAACAATAACTCGGTAATGTTTGAAGACCGCTTGCAAATTTTCAGATTTAATGATGCAGGGAAGGTAAAGTCGAAAATAAAATATGAAGACGAGCACAACAACATCCAAACAGGCGTCAATGTTTGCTATTTCTTTTCGGAAAAGTAGACACAGTTAATAAAGGAACACATCTTGCATACTTTCTCGGGGCTGAAATGCTTCTGTACGATGCAAATGGACTTTGAGCTGCGATGAGATAGTGAAGACGAGGAAAGGGAAGCAAATTCATACTTATTTCGTTTAGGTCAACATTCATCGTCCCTGGAAATCTTGCGGAGCTAAAGGTAGAAGATTAACGGACATAACTCGAATACATATAAGGGCATGTTAAACCGTCTGTAGCTGAACAAGAGATTGAAGTTGAAAAATAAGCCTCACTTGCCCCCTTTGACCGTAGCAATGTTATAAATAACGAAAATGTCACGTTGGAAGTTTCAGCACCAACCTGGTAAGATTGAGAAGCATATTGGCAACAATGTTGTTCATTTCATCGAACGCCCTTGCCCTACCACCGACGACACCACCTTTACCACAGATCACACTCCCTACTCCAACTTCATTTTTTTCCTTACTCACTTCCAGCTCCTTATGAATTTTGTTTACAATCTTCGCAAGAGCTTCATTTTCAACAGAAATAACACAGTCTGCCAGTTCGGTTAGCTTGGCAATGGCTAAGGCTGTGTTATATGGAGATGTGATAACGTCGTCATTGAGGGAGGGGAAAACGGCAGTAACGATTCTGAGGCAAAACGATGGAAATGCACAGAAATGTACCTACTTGTAAACCTCTGGGAAATTATCTGCCAGCAGACCGGTTATGTAACTGCCCAACCCAGATCCCGTACCACCACCCATCGAATGAAGGATAAAGAAGCACTGAAGGCAGTCACATAGCTCGGCACTGCGCCGAACAGCTTCAACAATTTCATCGTTGTGCTTTTGTCCATGCTCATAATAGCCAACGGCCCTAGAGGTAGTTGACTGAAATTCGAATCAAACCAGTTATTTGCCGATCCGGGGAAGTCTGTGATAAGATAAGAAACGTCAAAAAGACTCCCAATTTGACTGCGAAGCAGGCTTTTTACAACACCTTCTTCCATGTCCACTAGTACTGACTGAAAGAAAAAGATGTTAACAAATAAAGACGTCTACTCGAGCTTTAATTGCTGGACCTCCTCTTGTTAGCGGTGAGTAGAAGAAGGTTTGCATCGACTCGTTTAAACTACCTTTCTAAAATTTTAAGCTCTAAGTGTGAGTTGCTAACTTTATTCACGGCAGCATACTCCCTCAGTACCAGATCCCAAAAACGGTGACCAATTTGATTTCCGCATTGACCAACTAGAACACAAGAATGTCACTTTTGTGAATTCCAATGCCTTGAATGAGTATAGATTGTGGCATATCGTTGTATTAATGGCCCTCTACCAAATAGTTACACCCATATCCGAACGCCCTAGTGACCAGTGGCCCAAAATACGGACACAAAGTCAGTTGATAATCATTGACATTGACAAAAATATATGAGAGTTTGGCCGAATTCGGAAGTTTTTGCTTCCACAATACCTCATTAAATATGGTCTTAGATAATAAATAGGACGGCTATCAGCATTAATTGATACTAGAATCTTAGTGTAGGCATGGGATTTTCGAAAAACAACTGCAAAAATAGGGGCATTTTGAGTACTCAAATCATCAGGGCTTACTGAAAACAAATTTGTTGTCAAGGAAAAAAAGCACAGCGCGCTAGAAAGGTAACTTACTATATCGCCTACTACGCTCAAGGAACTGCTCTGGTTGCATTTGGAGCAATCCTTGAAATATTTTGACGCTTAGGCCTATTTATATTAATGTCTGGCTAACTTCTTGCCAAAGTTCGTTTCTTTTTTCTTTATTTATGACACAAGGGCCATCTCCTCTCCTCAGCTGTTCCAGAACAGCTGGCGGGATATCATCATGGCTTAGAGACGAGGCTGTAGAACGAAAGTGCAACCTGCGGGAAGCATTCATCAGCGCATTTGGAAACTGTTAAGCCCAGTACAACAACATCGCCCTTTTGCCGTGGTAATTACACTCGGCATCCAACAAACAAATGACTTCTAAGGCGGGTTACAGTTGTAGCCATGATGTGAACCATACCTTGTTTGCCCTCTGTATGCCTGTTACCTGCATTTTAATACTAATTAAAACTATTTTAACCTTTGTGTTTGAATGGTCTCTATCGTCTGTTATAGTTCGCGGCCCTTTTGGTTTGGCACCGATTGGTAGTTACTGATTGTGGGTTTCGTTTCCTTTGCTGCATCTTTAGTACTTCTTTGTATTTACTAATTGCACTTATCTCAAGTTAAAATGATGGCGCAATAAATTGGCCGAAACTCATTCCCTTATCCGATCTTCTTTTTAACCTGTTGTGTATTTAATTTTAGTTCCTCTATCTATTGTCATTTCGTAAAAATGACCAGTAATGGTAACACGAAAATGCGCATCAAGAGTTTTCCGGTTTCTCTCAATGAGCAACATATAAGTCAGACCTGGGAAAAGTTAAGGGCGGCTATTCTGGAGATCCAAAAGATGAATAACACTGGATTAAGTTTTGAGGAACTGTATCGGAACGCATACACACTTGTCCTGCAAAAGCATGGTGATCTACTCTATAACGGAACTAAGCAGGTTGTAATGCAGCATATGCTACGCATTCGCGAATCAGTCGTTGAGAATCTCAACAACAAGTTTCTCTCCTTCCTGAACAGCTGCTGGAAGGACCATCAAACGGCCATGCCAATGATTCGTGACATTCTACTTTATATGGATCGTATTTACGTAATACAGAAAAAGGTGGATAATGTTTATAAAATGGGTATGGTGATGTTCTGTCAGTTTGTTGTTCGCTATGGTGTGATAAAGGAGCATCTTCAGAAAACGCTGCTTGATATGGTGAAGCGGGAGCGTCAAGGCGAGTTAATTTCCCGACCACAGATTCGTGATGCCTGCCAGATGCTCGTTCAGCTCGGGGTCGGTTCTCTGGATGTCTATCAGGAGGATTTTGAACAACCTTTCCTGCGACAAACTCGCGACTTTTACGTGGCGGAAAGCGACGCCTTTCTGGCTCAAAATCCCTCCGCGATCCTCTACATCACCAAAGTGGAGCAACGCATAGAGGAGGAGATTGCCCGTGTTCACCACTACCTGGACGTCTCAACAGGTCCAAAGCTTGTTAAAGTGCTCGAACAGGAGCTAATCAGTCGTCACATCAACACCATCGTAAACATGGAGAACTCTGGCCTCACCTACCTCCTGGCAAATGAACGTTATGATGACATTAAGACTATGTATAAGGTTCTCTCCCGCGTACCTGAGGGTCCCAAGGTCATGAGTCAGTGCATAAGCGCCTTTGTCCGCGAACGCGGGCAGAACATTGTTCGTGATACGGGCAGTAGCAATCCACTGCAGTACATTCAGGATCTACTCCAGCTACGTAGTCGCTGTGACGATATTCTGATCGCTCTTGATCGCCAAGCTATCTTCCGCAGCCAGCTGAATGGGGACTTCGAGTTTTTCATTAACAGAAATCCCAAATCGGCTGAGTTTCTCTCTCTCTTTATCGACGAGAAGTTGCGACGTGGTTTCAAGGGCATGAGTGATCATGATGTAGACGTCATCTTCGATCAGTGTACCGTGCTTTTTCGCTATTTGCAGGAGAAGGACATATTTGAGCGTTACTACAAGCAACACTTGGCCAAACGTCTGTTACTGGGCAAATGCCAGTCGGACGACCAGGAGAAGAGCATGATTGCCAAACTTATGGCAGAGTGTGGTGGCCTCTTCACGAGCAAATTGGAGGGCATGTTTAAGGATATGACTGTTTCTAAGTCCCTGATGGAGGAGTTTATTCTGACCACTGCAAACTCACCGCTCAACTTGGATCTGTATGTGCGTGTGCTGACTATTGGTCTGTGGCCGACTCAAACTACAAGTCCTCGAGTATCGCTGCCCGCAGATGCCGTCGATGCTTTCAGTGTCTACTCGAAGTGAGTTTCTAGTTAAATGAGCACTTCTGAATACACATTCCGATGATGGCTTACTTCAACCAAAAAAGAACTGCGATCAGTTGTGAGTCGATAGTTTTTCCCGATAGAACCCGCACGCACTGTCGCATTTTAGATACGTGTTTGTGGTCACCAGCATTGTCGAGTATACACCAACCGAGTGTCGAAGTGTCGCGCTTGACTTCTCTAACGAATGCAGGGTGCTTCGATAGCGTGGTTTTGTTTTATGTGAGATTACTTTGTTATTTTTCCTCGTTCACTGTCGATAATAAACGTAAAAGGTGAATGCTCTTCATAACTTATCGACTATTTATTGTTAGTATCTTGAATTTCTTATCCTCCCTCCTATTTCATTACCTGCTCGTATTCTAATACATTCTTATCATGCAAAGATAAGTTTAAACGCCTTGCTATTAGCTGTAGTCTTGGTTACCAATGGCTTCTTTCCCTACAACGCTTACTAAGCGAAATTTGAATTAATGATGGAGCACCTTTCTATACCCTAAGGTACGTTCATGCGTATATTGTTTTAAGAATCACTTACTATAGCAATGTCAGTTCTAATTTAATGTCCCATTTTACACGGAAGTATTGGCGTGCGTTGTGATATTCGTTAGAACCACTGACGTCACTTGCTTGTTTCGCTCAATGAAAGGAGGAATAATTTACCCACTTTCCAGGGCACCTACAACGCAATTATTCCCAAAATTAATCTCGCCTTTGTTGGAAATGGCTTGTCTTAGACACGAAATTGTCCTTTTATGCAATCTTTGCAACCTTTCGTTGCAGGTAAACTAAATGCTTTTGGCTATTGATGTGGAAATGCTAGTGTGCGCATATTCGCGACCAATCATATCTTGCTTTTGGGGTCAGGACTGTAAATTTTTTTGTCACAATTGGATCAATTACACTCATTGTGACATTTTCCGTAACTGAATTTATTTCCACCCTCAAAAAGGCGGGTATTCCAAATGCAAACAAATGCAAAACATATTCCGGTATATTGCAGACAGACATTTGTCTTGAGAGCTTTTCATTTTCTTCCCTAGTGTAGATAGATAACATTATTTTAAAGAGGAAAACATGCCTTAATAAAGCGTAAGCCTCTCCTTAAGTGGTTGGAGTAATGTGCGCGAATTTCGCATCAATGTGAACCCATAAAAGTGACATTTCATTACAAAATTTATCAGTATAACCATTAAACACGAATTCCCTGTATGTACTGGGATGTCTCTGATTCGTGGGCGTTGCTACACTGGCACACAGCTTTTAGGAACGCTCTTTACAAATGTTCATAAAAGACTAATTTTCTCTCGTGATCGCTTTTCCTTTTTCAGCTTCTACTTGAGCAAGCACACCGGCCGAAAGATCAGTTTGCACTCGAACCTGGGCCACGCGGAGTTGCTAGCTGTCTTTAATGGGCCTGTGATCGCAAATGAGGAGACTCCATCTCAGCTCGAGGTTGTAGCCAGCCCCCTCCCTTCCTCCTCGCTTCGCTTCTCCGCCTCGTCCTCTTCGAGTGGCGCTGTCAGCGGGCTACCGGGAAGTCCTGGGGTCCCTGACCCTGTTGACAACCCCGGCACTGTCGTTACCGGCAGGACCTCCTCGAACCGGAAGTACGTCCTTCAGGTGTCCACCTTCCAGATGGTCATTCTGATGCTTTTCAATCAGCGCAGCCGCTACACCTTCGGGGAGTTGCTTGCGGAGTCGGGCATCCCTGAACGTGACCTAATGCGCAATCTGACGGCGCTGTGTCTGAGTAAATCTACCCAGCGCATCCTCTGCAAGGAGCCCAAGAGCAAGGAGATTGAGCCCACTGATGTCTTCTCTGTCAATAACTCGTTTTTCTCACGTCACTACAAGATTAAGGTGGGCCATTTCCCTTTATCGTACCTCATCTTACTTTGAGCTCTTCAATGTCACGCAACTTAACTGCTGACGATTCAAGGTCGTGGCGATTGCGATTGTAGTATTATCCTGCATACCGATTGCGTACTGTGTGGATGAGTGATAAGCGCCACCAGTGTGAAAATACAAACGAGAATATAGGAAAAGTAGGATTTCTACCTTGCCACGTTCAACACAGAAAAATCTAACTTGTTGTCCGCCGAGGGAAGCTGTACTACGATATAGGTGGTTTTACGTTATTTTAATTGTGGTTTGTTCCTTACGGGTGTGGGATTGCAAAAAAAAAACGAGTTCCCATATTGGTGTTTTCATTGGGGAAACCTTTAACCAAACTACTTGAAAAGGCAGTTATGCTTACTTTGGCATATAAGAACGTGGTTTTTAGTGAGGCTTCGCATAGTCTATTTCAATTTTTTTTTCTCAGAGGATTAAGTACATTTACTGGCCTCTTTCTAACGATGGAAGTGTTTAGCTACAACCTACAACGGATTGGATGTAGGATGTATTTTATTCTCAATCACACATTCTCAGGCTCGCAAACATACTCGTTGGTTTACTTATTTGTTCTGACCACCTTTTTCAATTGCGGGTCTGTTTGCGGGCATTTTTTTGAAGAGATGCTATCTTCACTTTCCCACAATGTAAATGAATAACCAAGTGGCACTAGTTTTGGCTTGACAGTAAAAGCAAGGGGATCGGTGATGTCAAAGAATTGATGGCAATAACAAAATTCGGGTTTCAAAGGATATAATTTTCAACCGAAGAGTAAGAAAGAGCTTTGGGTTTACCATGGATGTATAGAAACGGACAGATCGCTGAGGTTGATTCGGAAAAGCTGAGGCGTTCAAGTCGTCACTGAAAACGTCCTTGAAGTAAGTACTCAGGCTCTACTGAACCAAACAAAATAATTTCTAATGATGTAAGAAAGAGGAAAAAATTGCAGGCTTCTGCTGAAGCAAAATGAGGCACACAATAGGGTCGCTCATGAATGCATGGTTGCCATGCAAAAGTTTTACCGTTACAAATAGGAATTTGTAATTAGCGAGCGAGAGACAGCAGCCAATGCTTGGAAATTTGTAATGATCGATGGGTTTTTTTACTATTGAAGTAAAAGAGATTGTAGCGTTTTCGAAAAAAGCGCTTGAGAAGTAAGCTCTTGTAGCTTAGTAGGAATGGAGATTAGTGGTGCCACATGGAGAGAATTGGGAGTGGAATGGCTACAAATTTCGAGAGCGTGGAATACGAGATGGTGCTGTGCCGCGTTGCAGGTGTACATTTCTTTGGTAAAGCTCTTTCTGTTTTTTTTTAAGTCAGAACGGAAACCTGTAAAGCGGTAAAAGGTTACAAACCCCAATCAAGCCGTTTCTCGTTCATCCAATTTTTTCATTGAAAATAAAAAAGTGCACAAAGATGGTCTCCACATATTGAACGTTTAATTGGCCAAGCGCGACAAAATTCGCCCTCGGCAGAACGGGGTTTCCCAGATGGAGAGCAGTAAACTGCGTTAATTTATGGTTCTAAGTGGTCTTCTCAAGCACTTGTGTTTTCATCTGGAGGCGTAAAAGAGGCCTAGGTACCTGTGTCTACTCCTACTATTGACGGCTGAAAGAGTGAGAAGGGCCTGAAAGCGACACTGTTGGCGTGTTACGCTAAAACCTTCCTTCCACCAAACAGAAACTTGTAGCTGAAGCTTGAGCAATAGTACTTGGGGATCGGTGACAATTTCTACGGTTGATAACCGATTACACTGAATACTGTCCTAAAAGGTTTGGGTTTGAAACTAAAGTTGATGTAGGATGGTCTCCGCATGAGGGCGGTCACGTTTTTTACTGTTTAGTAGTACAACTTTATTAGGACAAAAAGTATCCACGCTGAATTTTCATTTGACATTCTGGTAGCAAGCGCATTCAAGCTTTGGCACCTGTGGATAGCTCTACACAATTTCCAGATCATGAATGAATGAAGGGGAGTTGTTATGCCCCAAGTTGCATCGCATTGCAGGTGCAGAACATGTCGGTGCGCGAGAGCGAACCGGAGCGCCAAGAGACGCGCACGCGAGTGGACGAGAACCGCCGCTATGTGATCGAGGCGACCATAGTGCGGGTGATGAAGATGCGCAAGACCATGGAGCACAACCAGTTGCTGGCCGAGGTGATGGAGCACCTCAAGTCGCGCTTTCGCCCTACCCCGCTGGCTATCAAGCAGCGCATCGAGGCTCTCATTGATCGTGAGTTCATCGCACGCTCCGAAACCGACCGCAAAGTGTACAAATACCTCGCATGAGGCTGCGCCAGTTCCCCCTCTTTGGTTTCTCTCTTTCCTTCCTTTCCGTCGCCCCGATCGCCAGTCACATTGTCACATTATCCACCTCTACCGTGTACATATTCTCTGCAACCACTGCTGATGATGCTGCCACCACCGCCACATCGAAACCTTTGTTGTAGTAGCTTATTTTACTCTTCACCCCTACCTTGCTCGCCTACCCGCGCCTCCGATTGCTCCTACGGCAGGAAAACGGTCCTTGTTCATTGCTTGGGGGGTGATCGTGTTCGCAGGTGACCGTCTCGGGAGTGGGCCCTTCTGCTCTTGCTCTCCATCTCTTCCTCTCACTGGCTTTTTTTTCTGACACGAATACGATTTCATTTGTATGTGCGGGGTTTGTGTGCTTATGGGATGCTGTGGAGCTTTATTTTTAAAGCCAAAATAACTTCTTTTAACTGTCTTAGCCTAAATTTATGCCTTTCGGATGGGTGAAGCTGCTAGTCGTTGACCGGTAACGGCGGTTGTGCAGCTTAGTAAGCTTTGTGTTGCATGTGCTTTGAAACCCATTTGATTTGTTAGATGAAGTTCACGGTAATTTTCTGATCTGGAATCTTTCTCATGGTAGGTGGTATTGACAATAATTTTATGTTCTAGGAGGGTTTTTCAGACAGTCGAGTTGCTTTATCGTGATTTTGGTCTGTGTCCGCAAATTACGCAAGGCACGGAAGGGATGGTGTGTATTTGGATGGTTGAATTCAATTTTCTTAAGCTACTTTTATTTCCTAGGGAAGAGGCATTTTCTGATTGTTAGAGCTTCATTCACAGTACCGTTATCTCGTTGTGGTCCCTGTTGGGACTTCGAAGTGGCCACTGTTTGTATTGCAGGGCCAGAGACTCCCTCGGAGAGGAAAGAGAGCAAAGTGCTCGCGCAGAATGTGTATATTAGACATAAAGTGGGACTTGGGGCTACTGACACAGCTCAGATGTTAGCCCACCCGGCGAAGATGCGATGGCAGAGCCCCTAAGTGATCCCTATGCCGAAACCGAGAGTTAAACGAATAACCAACCCATCACAGCATTGCCTTTATTTCCCATTTGCAAAGCTCAAGTGAAGTTAAAGTTAATGCAGGGCTGTTATTCTAAGGTTTTCTTAGTTCCAATTTTATTTTTGCCTAACCGAAGATTTAGAGCGGCTGGTGGGTTACAAATTTTTGCATGAATTTTTTTTTGCAGACCACATCAAGTAGGCGTGACAGTCCGAGTTTCTTATCTGAGCCTGGTGACACGAATGTGTCACACGTGTTCTTTATCAGTTTTTGGTAACCGTGATCGTGCCAAATCGCGTCACAAACAGCTTATTTTGAAATTAGACCAAAAAAGTGCGAAGTATTCCTCGTCCGGGGGCATCGACATCTTATAGCTTTGAGTAGCAGCAGCAGCAGTTGAATTGGTCAGAACAGATGGGTACCGCTTGGCATCACATTAGAACACTAAAGCATCTGGACCGTGGTGAGAGATCTTTCGAAACGGCCTGATACCGAATGTGTTTGAAAGTTGTCTCTGGCGTCGGCCAGACGTTGGAAGCGCTGCCATCCAATTGTTTGCTGAGGCGTTCGCATCGATTTTCTCGTTTGGTGGTGTGCGGACATGCCGCGAGTGGCAGAGCGCCGCGTGGCGCACACAAGTGTTGCCAATTCCCACAGTGAAGATGAGACGAATTCCATGTCTCTGCTCTCAACCATCGATTCCACCATCACTGACACGACCACCACGACCTGCGTCTACCGTAAGTTAGGGCGGCGGCGCCAAATTACCAGCTCTGATGTGACAACCACAGTAATATCAGGGGGCAGTGTAGACGACAGCAACCAGAATCAGGGGCCTAGCAGAGCAACTTCAACTTGCAGTTTGAGTCCTGTCCCTAAAAGGGGGTCCGAGAAGAGGCCTTGTGACAGAAAATCTGGTAAATTTTATTTTAGTGACGGAGATGTGGGTTCCAGTGTATCGAGCACTTCAAAGGCGACTTCCGATGAGAGTAGAAGAAAAAGATTCTTTAAAAAACGTGGAAAAAAGGCGAGTAATTGCGACGATAGTGACTCGGAGGGCAGTATACTCAAAAAATTTTGCTCCTGGAGAAGATGTCAGAGGCGGAAGAAGCCTGGCACAGACAGCGAAGGAGACACCTACACAATGAGTCGTGCGGAGAAGGACCAGCGTCGATTTGAAGCAGTTAGGGAAAGGCTAAGGGCCTGGGGAGAGAGAAGCACCTTTCACGGGGTGGATGTGCTCATGGAGACGCCGGCTGATTGGCGTCGAGTTTTTGTCTTTGTTCTCTTATGCATCATGACTGCGTTGTGTTGGATCTGCTGTGGGAAGATGGTCCTCGGATTCCTCAATATGTCTGTAACTACTGTCATTGATAGGGACATGAAGGAGTTTCGCTTCCCCGCTATCACTGTTTGTCCTGATAGTCCCTTCACCATGGCCCAACTAGAAGCTGAAGGAGGCGCATTTCAAGAGTAAGTTAATTTACTAAGTTATAATCCCTTCCAAATTGAAGTCTAGCAGAGGGCACCGCGACTAAGTACTACTTTAATCTAACGGAGTGAAATGAGCCTGATGTACACCTAGCTGTCTTCCAGATTGATTAAAATGCATTACAGGAAGTTTTTAGCCCATTATTTGTCTAGAAAAGGGAAATCTGCACGTACCTTTCAGTCCAGGGTGCATTGAATCACAGCATCACCTAAAAGTTATTGGTATTTTATTTATAACTTAGTAGGAAACTATCCTCGCTACCATCCCCGTGGATATGTGATGTGACGTGTGCCCTTATCAGTTTATGGTAACTATAGCAGCACCAGATCCGTATCGTAAACAGACAGATTAAGTTCACCATAATGAAGAAGGTGTAGAATGATTGTGGTCCGGGGAACTTTACAGATTTTCAGTTTTTGAGCAACAATTAAGTCGGTTAATCCTGTGGTGGAGGTGGTGATGCTATGTGGGATGTAGCGGTAAACATTGTTAAGCTTCACAAAATGCCATTAAAAACCATGATGTCCAATGCGCATAATCAACAGATTCAACTAGGATTAAGTCGAGTCAAGTGTGGTCATCTAAGATAACTATTTTCACACTTTTACAGAAAGAAATATCCTGCTATTACTCTTTTTAAGGTACAAGAAGTTGGCTAGCCTATGGATGAAGGAATCCCCGAACACCTCGACCCTGGATCCCCAAAAGTGGCCCCAATACGAGGGTCAATGGCGTCAGCGCAGCAAGTACTCCTTCTTTCGCACATACATAAAAACTTCCAGCCTGCATGTACCCTGGGAGCGCTACTTCGTGGCCTGTCAGTACAATGGCCTTTCCTGTCCAGAGCTCCCCGTGAATGGTGTCAGCGTAGAACTCGTAGGGATGGGTGGAGGTGATAACAGAGAGGCGGATGCGGGTAAGAATGGTGTCTACGTGGGGAACTCGCACTGGACTCTCGACCCCGGTCGCATCTATGGGTACAAAGACGTAAGGGGAAATATTACGGAAAGACTAAAAGCTGCCACAAGTATTGCCAATCAAACGATCTGGCCGAAGGAGTCACCTGTTAGAATAGTCACCACGGCGAAGTACCAATGCTTTCAAGTGAGGAAAAGGACTTTTTCCACTGCATGGGTTGGAGCTTTTGGTCACCTGGAAGCAGGCTTAGGCAAAATTTGCCCTTGGAAGGATTCAGTGACTACTGAGGTCATAAGAAAAATGTTTACTTGACTTGTTTATTTTAGGGCAAGGACCATATGTGGGGCAAAATGAACTTAAATGTCAGTTCGTTCTGGTGATAGGCTGGTAATATCGAACTTTGCAAAGTGAGGACTGACTTTGTTAGTTCTAACTGAAGATAATTGGTAGAATTGGCGATGATCTTAATAGTATTGGTGGCGACGGCGCCTCTTTGAGGATTTCGCGTTTTCACCACATGCTTCTTTTAAATACCCGCTTAATCGAAATTTTTATGCTTCCTGTCTCATTTTTCTACCAGGGTTATGTGCATTTTTTGCATATAATTTCATTTAATGTCACTTTTACGTCATTATCTCATTTAATTTGACAGATTCGTATGAAAATGACGAGTGTCAAGAGGTCCGGTTCCAGAGCCGGCCTTCATCTTATACTCAAGAGACCCTATCAACAAGAACAGACCCACCCTGCACTTCTTTATGCGGACGCAGACGCTAGCATCTACCAGGTTCATCTCCGTCTTTCGTCTTCTACTTTCATCACTTTGGCTCCTCCCTGTTCTCGATTTGTTATGTGTCTTGACTTTTGGCAGCATTGGTGTAGGTCGCAGATTTTTTGCCTATAAAAGGCACAACAAACCTTGATGTTGACAAAAGCAGTATTCATGTCTGTACAACATGTTTTGAGTGATGGAACAATGGAGTACTTTTTCAATCGCTGAAGGCTATTAAAGGATCAACATCAACATATGGAAGGACTGAGCGACCGACAGTATGGGTAACATAAAAATGACGCCGTTCTGTCACAACGGAGACCGTAGTTTCCATTATAGGTCTCCAATATCGTTTGGATGTACTTGATCGTTTTTGAGAGACTTAATGAAGATATTTTAGCCGATTATGTGTAGTGGGTTTTTGATTTGTCGTTTTCCCGAGGGCTGGGATGATCACCAAGGCGCAGCGAACTCGGAGGACGCGGTCGTAGCCACGGAAATGGACGGGTTCCAGGTGCTGCTACACGACGTCGCCGAGAACGACCAGCCTGTTCTCTCCGCAGCCGATGTTGCCTCCATTGGCGATGCACACTCAGTAGTGCGTACATCGGTGCGTTTCGGACAGCATCTTGTCGTCACTGTCAATCAGTTTGTGAGTTTACGAGTATCATCTCACCCCTCCTTTCCACTGTCCTCACATTTCAGCTATGGTTCAGCTGGGGTTTTTCATTCAGTACCACTGATGATGTATTATTATGCGATTGAAGCCTTCTTAATTGCAGCAACCCATTCTGAGTTTCAGTAGCATATACTATCAATTGCCAACACCCATCTTCGTGAACAATGGTGCTACATTCTCCCTTCCTGCTGGGTAACTTCACGACAGATTAATTAGGCATCGATCAGACATCTCAAATTAGACGAGTATTAGAAGCACTGAATGAATGCTCACAAGAGCAAGTGACTGCTGTTTTGTGAGGTGGCAACTTCGGGAGGCACCACAGTAGAGGTAGTTACTGGGTTAGGGGTCTTTAGTATTTGAAATGTTGACATCGTTAAAGTAAAAGGCTTATAGGTGGACGACTAAGTGCCCCATCATCATACCATCCATAGACACGGACAGATATTCTTAAGGTCAAGTTTTGCACATTATTTCCTCACCCCTGACTCGCTGTTCCACACACGCACTTACTGTCGCATTTGGTTGCCACTTCGATTAGCGGTGGATGGATTAGACAGGTGGAAAGAGAATTGGACTGGAGCACCGGGTTACAAAGGGTATGCATAAGACCTAATAGTGTATGTATTAGCGTTACGACGGGTGGATGTTGGACATCGGTAAAGTTGAATGTCTCCATTTGACCTAAACACTTCTCATAGAGAATGCAAAAGAGACCTCGAGAAATGCTGTTTACATACATATGTGCGAGCAAGGCTTCATTTAATCACCAAAGGATGGGTTTGTGCATTTGTGAATAACCAGTGAAAGATATTCTGGTGTTTATTAATTGTGGGTCTTTTACTAATCCAAATACCGCCACTAAAAATGTGTGCTTTCTAAGGGTCTCCTTTAATAGATATTATCTATTTGGGCACAGATTTTCGAATTCAACCAGCATTTTAATGAATTAAAGTGTTTAACAGGGCCCTAACACTTCTCCATTCCCAAATCTATCGAAGGATAACGCAAAGAAATTGTTTTGTGTTTATTATTTATTCCAATTATCAATCACCCGTTTCGAAGGGATATTTATGCATGTGATTTAAGTCCCAATTTTTGCAAATTTGCCCATATTAAACAGCTAAAACCAAACGTTTACGCAAGCAGTGGTCGAAAAATTGTCCCAAATTGTATAAAGTTACTTGGTATTTGCAACCGAGAAGAGATGGATTGTATCCAATCCTTTTCTAGCTATTTTAGGGTTTGTATCATTGGTACATTTTTATTCTCAATTCGAAGATCCTCGATCGCCTAGACACATATTTTCGACCTTGCAAGAAAAATATCCATCCCATCTTCTACCTCGACGTGGAGATCTTTGTAAAGGAGCAAAAACGACGCGCCATTTCAGTGGAGTACACGCGGCGCAACTGTGTGGCGGCACTGCGACAGTCGGTGATGCAGCGGCGCTGTGGCTGCCTCTCGGAGAGTTCTATGGTGCCCCTCTACCTTGTCAATCACCTTGCTACCCAGGGTTTCTGCCATGACGATGGTCGTGACAACATTTCCGCCGCTGTAGCCTGTCACGATGATGTTATGCGCATGTCGGATGAGGAGGTAGGTGCTTTACTTCTCCTGTTCATTAATCCGCACAAGTATGTGTTTTAAGTTTTTGGCATGCAGTGCTTGAGAACTTACAAGGAGCGATCACATCGTAAATATGAGGGGGTGGAAAGTGTATATATTTTCTAGTAGGTTCCTCTGCCACGTTAATATACACAACTCAGCATTTAACAAGTACCTTCAAAGCAGCTTCGGCATATAAGAATCTGCCAAGGAGTGTGAAGTAATCTAGAACATTCCGCTTCGCTTCTTCTTCGGTACATCAAAATATTTTGGTATGTACGGTGGTCTTTCGTGTTTGGTCATTGAAAAATTGATATCATTACCTTAAATGCTTTAATGGTCGCTGTGAATGCGCTATCACAGCACTCTTAATTTTGAAAGTCGCGCTTTGGCTTAATCTTCCCTTGTACACCAGGCGGTCAGGGATTCTGGAGTTTGGCGTGTGGGATTTGGGCTCTTCCACCTCTTGTCATCACTCATTGCCAACTATGTGAGCGTCTTAGTGAAAGCCATAACATAATTGGCTCTTGAGCGGATAATTTGGTGGTGGTTACTTTGATTGTCAGTAGTTGATTTGATGAACATTTAGGATGTAAAATTACGCAGGCCTTTTAAAGTTGATTAAGAGGTGGTGATCAAGCAGCGGTTGTTGGATGTTTTGCGCTTTCAAAGGCACTGTTAAGAAATTTAGTGGTCTACACCCCATGAGGGAAGTGGCGTCTTCTTCGCAATGAAGCTAAATAACTACCGTTAAAGAACTGTCTAAGAGTAGAGTTCGTTCTAAAAAAAACTAGTCTCATTCGCTTTTAATTCACCCCTTGACAAAGTGTTTTACGCTAAACGATGCTTATGGTTGTGAAAGAACACGATAAGCTGGAACCAGTTGCGTCTTCAGGCCATCAGTTGCCATTGTCTCCAATGCTCTTAACATTATTGGGACAACAACTGGTGGTTCATTTATTCTAAAATCCAACAAACAAATGAGACCGTATTACTTGTTGTTGATCTTTGTAAGGAAGACTAAAGGCATACACTGGAGCTGGAACTGGAACCCGTTCCTTGAATATTCGATTGGATGAATAAGGATCTCACTTTTTAGCTGAGATGTCGTACCAGGTATCACCTGGGAGATACAACTAAACTTACAAGGATAGCACATTTTACTAGTCCATATGTTTAAAGAAATGGATGTAATCCTATCCAGCATTATATATTTAGTGCTTTCAATAAGTGAATTCTGGAATATGCTCTTAAAAGTGATGAAAACCAAGAGAAAATGCAGTATTTTGGCCTATTTGCTGTGCTTCGGACAGCAGTTTTTACTACCTCTGTCAATGATTTGATATTCCCACACATCTGGGTCTCGTCCCCAATAAATTACACTTGAAAGCCCTGAAAATTGTTCGTTGCACTTAGAAATTAATTATGTAAGGAAGGTGGGATAATGCTTGCAACTGATTGTGCCAAGCTCTTGCAGCGAAGGCGACTTCAGGCTGATTTGGAACTTGTCGCCTGTCTGCTGGGTAGGCACGCGCCTCACACTACCAGCTTGTCACATCTGATAACTGACCGAAGGTGATGACAAGTTTGGGCTCACTTCTACCCAGTGGAATTCGATTACTTTTCTTTTTAATGGGGATGTAGCATAGGATTTTGCTACAATTCCTACTTAGATCCTGAGAAGGTGGTCAAAGTGCTGCATTTAGAAAAGAGAATTGACCCCATTCACTGCACCTCTATCAACATTGGCTGCAGAGGCAAATTCTCGCCCTAAGTTCACAGGGTTTGAATAATGCAGATTTTAATGGCACTTTCCTTTAAATGGTCAAGTGTTTTATTAATACGTTTGCATTAGAAGCATTCCCTTGAAAACCAAAGTCTCCCCTATCCACTCAACACTCACCATTATCGTGATGACATGCAGTGGTTTTTCTACCCTAAAATCTGCCATGCAAAAACATTAATAATTTCCTCCACAACTCGTCATCACTTCATCAAGTTGTGTGGCTCCATCGCCTTTAAGTCCAGTCGCCTAAATGCTACTTTCGCCTGGCACGATGCTCTACCACACCCTGTGTCAGTTGATGGAATTCCCTTAGTCATTTTGCTAGCCCTCAGTCCTCGGGAAAGTCATTTCCACGTTTGCATACCAGCAATAGGCATTAGGGTCTAGAGTAAAGTTTGCATAAAGATAATTTTGCTGTCTTTCAGTGCGAATTTCGAATGACTGGTGTCGTTAAATAACTCCTTCATCTTTAACCCCTAGTTTCCATGACTGGTTGCACATATGAATATGGGAAGGGAGAGTAAATGAAGGAGTTCTGTGCCACGTTGTAATATCAGTGGTTTCAGGGTATTTGCGATGATAGCTTTCCTCTACCTTTGTCCGCTTTACCAAGGACTTCTGTCACCCTAAACCATAGTCACCTAAATGACAGTCAACTTTTGAACAAAGCTGATGGGAGTGAAGTTAACTTCCAACTTGCTGCATAACTGTTGTCTTTTGTGCCCAGAGACCAACCACAATCAGACTAAAGTTAATTGCTTAGAGAGATGTGATAACTTGTTTTTTGATATAGTCATTATCCGCTTCAACGATGGATTTTTCAACACTATATGGTTGTTTTCTCTGAAAGTGGCTTGAATAAAGTGATTTTATGCACAAATATTAACTGATGGTGGTTCCGAGTACCTTCTGTTACCTACGCTATTTAATTCATTCATCCAAATGGACTTTGAACTAGACTGAAGCTTTGTTATGAATAGTAGCCTACGGAGTAGAATCATAGTGGAATTTATAAGCTTTATTTAATTTGTAGATATTGGAAGCCTCCATTCCCAAACGCTGGTACCGCGTGGTTCTGGTGAAGCTCAAGCCTCATACTCGCCACTTTTGGCTGTGTCCACAGCCCTGTGTAGAGCGTGTTAACGAGATCTCCCACCAGCAGGTGCTGGCACTTGAGGAGGGTTTACCGAGAGAACTGTTGGAAAGAATCAGCAGTCCAAACGGCACCAATACTTCAACCAAGGCCAGCGTGTCGTCTAAAGCTAGTGGAGGATTGGCCAAAACCGATTATCTGGTAATAAGCGTAGCGGCGGAGAACTCCCGCGTTGCAATTCACTCTGAAGGCGAATCGGCCTCCTTTTTCAACCTCCTTGCCGCCCTCGGAGGAATCTTTGGTCTCTTCCTCGGTCTCTCCGGCGTCACTATGTTTGAGGTCCTTGAATCCTACTGCATCCTCCTTTCCCAGGGCTTCGGTACCTTCCGTCACGCCGCAAAAGTAGGCGTCAGTTTTGGAAAAAAGATTTTCGCCCGAGAGAAAAGTCCTGAATTCGATGACGATGAGGGAGGTGTGACAATGGCTAAGTGCGTGAAATGCTTCTTCACTTTGTCCTCTGGAGCTGTAATAAATGAAATGCATAGTAGAGCATAGAAAATAGTTCAAGAGATAGAAGCTGCATCCATTTTATGCATGATATCATGAAACACATGTGCACACTCTCATCCCAGTGTTTAACTAAGACCTTCGAAGTAGCTTTGGTATGGAAGAGCCTGCTTGGCTTCATCATCGGTGCTGGTCAAGAGCAAAAAGTTTTCTTAGTTCCCAACTTGATTCAACCTTCCGAAATAGCTAATAACCCTGATCGATTGTATTCTATTTCCTGTTAGTTTAAAAAGTTCCGTCTTTTTTACAATACCATTCCATGTTGCATCTATTAAGCGTTCTAAGCATTGAATGAATGTTCACAGGAACGAATGGCTGCCATCCAGTGAGGTGAGATCCCTGAGAAGCACCACGGTCGAGGTGGTTGCTGAAGTAGAGACGCCGGTGAATTAAATGATTTACCGCTGCGTGGCTTAGTGTGCCATCACCGTACCGTGTTGTACCCCAAATCTTCTATAGACACGAGCAGACAGCCTCGAATTAGGGTTCAAAGCCTTCGCCAGCCAATAGTTATGTTAATTATCACATTTTAGTGGTTGCTGTTGCTGCCATTATGCCGATATGTCCCAACGATTTCACGTTAATAAATTTTAAGGTTTTGTTTTGACTTGAGTACCCCTTATTCATTCCAACCTCTAAGGCAAAAAGCTGCCTTACCACTATGGAGAGAGTGATACCAATAACGTAGAGGTATAAGTGGAGACAATGAAGACTGTGTCCAAGGATAGCGCATCAGTAGAAACCAAAAAGCTCTGACCTTATAAATCATTTGTCGGTCATTAATGCTTTAGCTATGCCAGAGTAACGAATGGCCTCAGTTCTCAGCTATCTTCTCACGCATAACTCAAACTAGCACACTGATCTGCACTTTTTCACGTATAAGCAACTTTTTTTCTTGACTCATAAGAATCACGTCAATCTGCTTGGTTTTAAGTTAATTCAATCAAACCATAATGAAGGCTCTCATTTACCGATAAATTAGCATTGCTGAGAGGGAGATAGTTTAAGCAATTAACTTGTGAGGATGTAGTAGCCACCGTATTTCTCTTCCATTTGAGAAAGAAAGTCATAAAAATGAGGCGCAGCAATCATCTTCACCCTGTTTTTAGGTCCCCGCCACCTCCTCCTGCCTTAAAAGAACCTGAAATGTGAGTTTGACTTTTAAAACGCATTTTGTGTGTTACCACAAGCCTAGAAGTACTTCCAAAGCCCAAAAGTACCAGAAAAGACGTCAGTCTCTGACCACCTCTATTAGCAGTGTAAATATTACCTCAGTGCTTTTCAACCAATCGAATTGCACCAAATTAGCGCCGACTTGGCATGCATGTAAAATACAAGTTTTTTTTACTCCTCGGCTGTTCAAGCCTACTTCTCTGAGCCCACATGAAGAGGAGAGGCAGGAAACCATTTTGTAACAGGCAGTTGAACAAACTTTTTATCTCCTTACTGATCATAATGCTTTGGGTTTGGGTTGGAAAATCAAATTAAATAACATCTCTCCCAATATACTTAGGGTTGTTTTTGTCCCTACCTTAGCTACGTTAAAAATCACGTTTCTGGCTGTTAGCTCCCAAGTAGAACAATTGTTTTTTATTCATCTGATAAGATTATTGAAACCACATAGTATGTCAAACTGAGGCATCGTTCACAAGTTTCCCTGAGATTTCGGCCCTAATAGCTCTCACAATTGTTTTTTTTTGCGCATTGTAATTTTTACTTCGGCTGTAAATTCTCCTCCATTCTTTTAGCTGCACTGATTGGGATGCGGCGTAAGTTAAAATCTACTGTTTTTTCTTGGTTAATATATCCCTACGATTCCACTTTCTCCCTTACTTTTTCCAAAACACCTACTTTTGGCTTAGTTTTATACATAAACGTAATACATTATTCGCTGCTGCGGATTTTTTCAGAGTGCGCAAAGCCACCGAGGAGATACAGGAGTACCTGAGTCGCCGTGATGTGGGGTAATTCCTTTTAAATTGTTGCATTTTTGCTCTTTAAAGTACCAGCTATTGCCTGAAAAGAAAAATTTAAGCTATAAACCAAATGAGCTCGTGTGGCTTTTATGAAAAAAGCAAGTTAACTGCAGGAAGTTTCTTTTAGCATTACCATTACACTATCGGTAACTGTGACGAGGCACAAGCTTGCGAATTCCATTTGTGTAAAACGGAATGCACATGACCCTGGGCACCTCTGCTTACTTCGCATCTTCATGCCCCAACTTTCTACACCATCTAACGCCAAGAAAAGGTTCAAACCACTTAGGCTCATGCTAGCAGGGGAGTATGGTGGATGAAGATGCTGAGGAAGTACCGCCTTTTTCTTCATCCTAAAGGGCAAATCTTCTCACGGGCCATTTTTATGCCTCTATGAGGTCTCGTGTTTTCCCAATAAAAGGACCACCTTCTTCTCAATGGTTTGCCGTCCATGGCTATGTCTTAAGAATTTTTCCTTACCCGCAATCGCGTTTTATCGAGTAAATGTATCTCGAGTTACACTATTCCTACGACACGCGATTCCTCACTTAAGCAGAAGGTATTCCCAAACTTGGCAAATCTTTGAGTAAATCATCAAAGTTATATTGCTTAAACCACTTCTGGGCGGTATGTTCTGCTATTGCCTTTCGTCTAGCTGCAATATAGCAATGGTTACGAGAGGGTCCTACAATTTTAACACCAAATTTTCACTCGGTTCGGAAAGCGGACAAGCTCAAGTCATACTAGGTTGGTTCTTTTGAAATTCAAGGGCTGATAAGAAGATGAAAAGAGTAGAGACCAAGGGAACAAGTGCCTCACGAACCGGCCGATGCGCATCTATGCTTTAGGATGCATCTTACAGGTCCCTGTGAAGTGCACTAAGTCGTTGCAATGAGCTTCACGGAAAGTCACACGAACTTTTTGGTCACCTGGTTATTACATAGTGCACAAATCCTATTCCCCTGTTCTCTTTTTTAGCGATCAGAGGCCAGACTTGGTCCTACCCGCCTACAGGTAAATCTATTCCTTATTTACAAAAAAGAAATTCCTTTACGCTAAAGAACAACTGTGACAATCTGCAATCAACCTTAGTAAATGGACTAGTGAAGGACCCTTTAGGTCCTTGTCTGCGATTGTTTGGCGACACTCTAGCTCCCCTTAGGAAGTTGGTAAATTTTTGGATCTGAATGGCAGTTTTTTACTAGGTATGCAGAACGTATGGTATGGTGTTAAGGTAAATGTCGTGCATGAAAGTCTGTGGAGTCTAAACAGTCCTATTATTAAGACCTATCACTGAAACAAGTGTTATTTTGCCAAAATTGAGCACAATTAATCTAGCTTAACTCCTCCGAGATGTCTCTGAAAGTGGGCGGTTCTGTTGACTAAATTTCATTTAATAAGACTGTTAAGCTGTCATCCTCTACTTACCATTTGTCTTCAGTCGGCAAAGCTGTTCATCTTAAGGTCATCACTTAACCACTCGAAGTGGAGAAAGCATGTGAAAATTGCTGAGTGCTAAATGACGTTTTAAGGACTCGAGAAAGTGCAGTGAGAAAGTCAGCATAAATTCTGAAACCGTCAAAACCATGATTTTGTCAATACATTTGGCGCAGCGTTGCCGTGATGCTAACAGAGCAGTGAGGCTGTACATGAATAAAAGACCATGCTGCATAGAGAAATAATACAAAAAGTTGAACAAACTGTCGCATTTCTGTGGTATTATGCCCTTCTCTCTTGCCTACTAGATGCGTTAAGAACGCCGAGGGGAAGTGGGACTGCAACTTTGTCGGTTCATCCGCCCCTGGAAGTTGCCTGTACCCAGTGAATTCACGTCCCCTCCCCACTGCAGCGGGCCGCGCCTCTGCTGTCATAACTGCTTTACCCTCTGTCTCCTCTTCACCCTCTTCAAAGGCCTGTCCACGTCCGTGAAGCGGTTGTAGCACTGATGAGTGTTACTCGTGCAATATAAGTAGTTGAGTGTGCTCGGCACTATTTTCTGGTTCTGAAATTAACAGCTTTCGTGGTGAACAGCTAGCAATCCTACACAGCAGCATGCACGAGAAACGTATACATGAGACACAACTGTTAAATTCCACCCCTGTTGTGCGAAGTGGTTTTTAAATTAATCATTACTCCTCGGTTGCGATGGCTGTTTATTCTCCTGATGTAAAAAGTGTAGCAGATGAAAGCCTGCGCAGTCACTCTATTGCAAAGTGACGGATGTCACGGGATCCTCTTATTTCTGCGCGAATCCTGACCTAAAACACTAGGGTGATAGAAATGCCACTCATGGTGTTTTAAACAAGCCAAAGAGAAAATTTTCTATTATACAGCACGGAATTGTGAAAATAGACAGAATATGTTTCAGAAAATGGTACATTTATAACTTTTAAGCCTCAAGGCTGTAAGTTATGTTGGAGAAGTCCACTGCTATAGGCTGATGGGTGGAAAGCGCCGTTGTCAAGAGTCTAATGCGCGATTGCATTATGCAAGTGGAACGGTTTTGCTAAAACCGGTGATAGAGAGTTGAGTGTGAGAACTTTTAGAGCTGTTGCATTATCACCGACCTATCAGGTAAGAATAGAGCACTCTTGCCTAAAAGAAGGGTTTGCACTGCTACCTCAGACAAGCATTTCTTTGTTAAACAAGCTTACTAGTCACCAAAATTTTAATTACTGATCTATGTAAGGTGAATTTTAACGCGTAATTCTCACTGGAGAGATATGCCGCTTTTCAGATGCATCGAATTTGGCTACCGCTTCCTACTTGGGTAAACTCACAACTGAAATTTGTTAGGCAAATTGCACTGCTTACCACATCCCCTTGGTAGAGGCTGTTTTATGGGCTAATAAAGTTTACATGAAGCAAAGTATCATGTTGTAGGAATTAAGGAAAAGCAAAGCAGAAAGACTATTCATAATCTCCATAAATGAGGGGAATCTTTCACAGCCATCTACTAGGCAGTTTTCTCTAATGGTGTACACAGTATTAGAGAATTTTCAAGGAGTTGTGTAAATTTTTAGTAAATGAATAGTCACCCGCACCATCCTGATGTCGTCAAAGTGTGATTTGTCGTTAAGCTATCTTTTATTCAAATAACTTTAGTAGCAATCATATTTTCTCCTTTAAATTGGAATCACTGATATCAACTAGTTTGTGATCATTTACCGCCTTATCTTACTCCTGAAGATACATTAAGATTCATCGATATGGGTGAAGATTAACCCCAAGCACCCAGAAGGACTGAGAGGCCATTAGGTATGGCGGCAAATCGGAGATTGACTACCGCTGGGAGAGCGTAGCTAGGCAAGCTCCCTTCAAAACCGTTCTTCTACAGTCATGACAGCACCAAATAGTGGGTGGTTTTGTCCAGAAATTTTTTTTATATTCACAGAGGAGTTGTGTAAATGAAATAATTTCAACTTTTGAACCTGAAACGTAGATAAGAGGATCCAGAGTAATTTGACCACTTGCTTGAAGTTCGAAATAGGGAGGTTAAATACGTTTGGTATGAGGTCCGTTATAAACCCTCAGAGAAAAAAAGACAGGTTGACGCTGCGATAGATTCCAGTTCAGCAATTATTTCCATCAATGCGAAGTTTACTAAGCGCTAACTCCCTTTGGAAACGCATTCATCTTATTTGTCTCGGCTCAGACCATTCGTAGTCAAAGCTAAGATTGCTTTCTAATTACGAGTATCTCAAAACATTTTGACAGCGTAACAGTAACCCGACCGTTTCCCGGTTTTTCCAGTCGTGCTTAAAAGCATTCTACTACATGACACGTTTTCCGTCAAACGCCAACCACCAATCGGATGGAAGGATGGTGAACTTTTACAAGGCAAGAACCAGGACGGGTCAAGGTGAAATTGTTTGAGGTGTTTGTAATCCCCGCAAAACTTCCCATTGTGCGGTTATAGAAACTGCCATTTGAAGCTTCAAATTTATCATTTTGGCGCCTCGTCCTGGAGCATTCCAGAAACCTTCACACTTAAGGCTCCGGTTTGTAATTTCCCTGAATAGTTAGCATTACCTGGGGATGCACTATATATGTGTCCTCAAAGTTTGCTGGAACATGATTGTGCAAAATTTGGAGCTTTTGGAAGGAGGGTTGTTTGTATCCCATAATTTCGGGAAGCCAGAACTCCGGCCTCTCATGCATTTGTGTACACACACGCTGCATACACCGGTAGAGATGCCAGTTCCCAGGGCCTCATCTTCTTGACTCTTCTTTTAGGGAACGCGATAACGTCCTCTCTCAAACACACACAGAGCAGTTCAGAAGTGCATCGACCAACAACCTTACCCCTGAAGGCGGGTTGTGATTTCATTTCGAATGGTCTTAGAAGGTCGGTTCGTGTACACTTTATCTCTGCCGCCAAGGTATCAGGCGGAAATCGGCAAAAGCAGCTGTTCAAGTTTTGCACTGTTCTAAATGAAGCAAAGTTATGTAAGCCAAGAAACTAGATTTCGGTATCCTACTGATAAGGAAAACTTACATCTGTCCACATTCAAATACATCCTATCCATCCACTTGCGTCGGGACTAAAGTCGCTCAGAAGAGTGAAACTACTCAAAATTATCACATCCATGCAGTCGGAATGGAACCATTCGTATTCGTAGGCGTCAAACGTACCCTATCACTATCCATTATGGTGCTGCCCACTCCAGACACCACTAATCAAGGTGACTGACAGCTGTACCAGTGGATGCATGCATGAAACAGCGTGCGACTTTTTTTCCGTTCAACAAAGGTGCACAACTTGAACTCGCTGATAGTGGCAGGTGTCTACAGAAGACTTCAATTATAGTGCACTACGATGATGATACACTCATTGACCCAGCAGTAAGGTCCTTTATTAACTTATGTCAACTCTTCTAAGGCCAAAGATCAAAAACCAACATGCGCTTCTACGTCAGTCGTGGCGCCTCCTGGCGTTTTCATTCCACAGGATCAGTACATCAAACGCTCGCATCAGCACCACATAACCAATTCATCATTGTTTCACAAAAGAACTCAACATCGAAACAGAGAACACACCGTCTTCCTCCCACGGACCCCCATGAACAGAAGCATCTGCAATTTTGACAAGTAGGGTTACAGTGTCAAGTTGGCTTTCCTTACCAACGACGAAACGAGGCAGGCTGTTGGAAAATAGTTTGGATATTTTGATGGATCCTCCCATGCCAGGGCTAATTTTTGGGTGTACGCTAGTACAATTGTGTGGGAGATTTCGTTAAAAAAATCAACGCGGGTTCAGTCGAGGATATTTTTTCTTATTCCTCACAAACTCCGCAGTCCCTGCCCAACTTGAGCGCCCCTTGTATAGTGATGCTCATGCACCCAAGGATGTATGGGGCATCATTATTGCAAGGCAACAACACTCAGAATTTGCTCATATTTAAAGGCAATCTTCTTAGTCCTCTTTTTACTCATTTCATGATCAGAAAAGAGGTAGATTGGCACATGATTTACCTAATATATATGTATATCTGAAAGGAAGTAGAAGGCGACATGGGTTCCAGGTCTTTTTCGTATACACGGATTGACAAGCTGACGAAGTAAGCAGAGACAGGACAGGGGGAACAATAAACCAAAGTAGATAAAAAGAAGTAAAAGAGAGAGAAGCTAGTGGCTCTCCTGGAGACACTCCTTAACGAGATACTTGGTTTGCTGGAGGGGTAGATTGACATAGAGGGGATCACGGAGACGGCGCAAGTCACATTGCAGCTCGGCCAACATCTCGCGCAGGCTGTTGTAGCGCTCCACATCGAATCCTTGTGCCGCAGCGCCCTTGTAGAAAGCTTTCAGGTACTCTCGATCAAAGACTCCCGGGAAGGAGTAGTCCTAGAGATCCACCAAGAAACAACACATATCGGGATATTAGTCCAATGGAGGCCTACCCACCCACCCTCCTACCATCCAATCCACCTTAATTGTAATTACTGACGTAATCAAATTGTACCAAATGGATTTCGCATGAAGCTTTCTACTGTATCGGAGATGCTTGGTATAGGAACAGACAAGTAGAAAAGACGAATGTGAGTACCTGCCGAGTGACGACGAAGTAGGCGTACATAGCCATGGTGGTACCGTAGCCGACGAAATAGGTTACAGGTTCCATGATGTCCCAAGAGTACTCCCACCACGTGAGACGCGCCAGCAGACCGAACTGAAGCCCCATGGCGCCCAGGCCCAGCCACGTCAGCCTTCGGGTCCGTGTCGAGGCCATCTGCGCCAGCGCCTGTCGCTTCTGCGAGGGGAAAGAAGAAGAGAGCTCTCAAAGCCAAGTCTATCGTCGATTCTTGCCTCTGTTAACTGGGGTTTCCCTTGCCCAAACTAAAGTCACCATTTCATTAGGCGTGAATTAGAACACACCCTTCGATCGTATGCCGATTTTGAAATCCTGCTATTTCCTGTCTAGTGTTTGGCCGTCCATATTATCAAAGCGCAATGTTTTATGTATTAAACACTGAAAAAGCTTGTATTAGTTTACTTACACCACTGCCCATGCCTTGATTGTTTTAAAATCCTCTAAAAAGGCTGCCAAGGATTGTGCAAACGATTTTCACCTTCCATTTGATGTCTTTTGCTGCATTTCTGAGAGGCTGATTGCGTGTAATTTATGCCACCTCTACAAGCCAAGCTTATAGAAAGGGTCAAATTACTTCAACACACATACGCTGATGCACGAGACCACTAAGAAGGCAAAGGAGCAACCGAGATGCTGCTGCGTTTCAAAAAAGTATTTCAGTTTTTGAGCTGTTTGGGCAATAGAAGCACCTGCTCATGCCTCGTCGCCCAGTTGAGAGGGGAGTTGCATTGCAAAATATTCATTCAGCCACCTACTCACGTCTTTAGCATCCGCTGAAATCTCGGCAGAAAAGCAGTTCTGCAAGGCCTTCGACACCTTCTGTTTTGATAATTGTCCGTAGCAGCAGATGTTTGCAAAATGTCTAGTCAATAGGGATAATAGCAGGTAGGGCCATGACTAATTGTGGCTGAACGAAATGTTGATATTTAGTTGAACAAATTCACAACCGAAGATGCATACTTAACAACCACATCCAATTTTAATTAATGCACTAAACAATCGTTGCCTTACTCTACCCTGAGATCATCTGACTCTGTAACTACTCACGTTCATCCTTATCAGCTAGGCAGTGAAAATTTGACTCCCAAAAGATATTCTCATTTCTACTAATGAGAAGGCAAGATCACAGAAAGGGTAACGAATGGTTCAACCATCGTTGCACAAATAGAGTCACGTATCAATTTAAAATTTAAAAGCAAAACTTATTAGTTGCATTTTCCAGGAAAAAAAAAACTACCTCCCTAAGCCATACAAGGGAAATAAGTCAGACAGGCAAAACAGACGTTTCTGATATTTGGTCCTTTACCTGCTCAAGAAAAACGGTGATGCGTGATACATTTTGGTCTGTCAGGTACATTAGAGACTTTAAAATAGCCAAAATTATTTCAGTGAATAGGATTGTGCGTGAACAGAAGAGGAGACGAATTTGTATTCCATGCAAATAAGGTGAGTCGTCAGAGGAATAGCGCCCGCTTTCATTAAAGTGAAAGGAGGGATATGTTTGTGCCATTCCCCACATCGTTATGCTCCCAACCCTTCGGTATGCCGGAACGGTGGGTCCTGTGATGCCCTCTTGGGCGGCACAAATTCCACAATTCTGAAATCGTCTACAAGTGGCGTGTCGTGAATCGTGAAATAAAAATCCAGACAGTAGACAAAAACTTCCTCAGATCGACAATTGGGCGATTTTGCATTTTAGATAACAGCAGTAATGTTCACCGTGAGCCACCGAGACTAGTATGCGCAGTTCAGTTGTTGCAACTAAACTACCATTTTGGCCCCCAAAATCGCATGCTTGTGGGGCTAATTTGGTTGCAACAGATAAACATCAACGCAGTTAGGTGATGCCCCCATGAATCAATTTCATGCGAAGGGCGCGCTCTGAAGACGAGTTGACGTTTCACTTAAGAGGGATGTCTATCTGCCCTTCTGTATGTCCACACTGGTGTGCCTTAAAACTTCTTCAGTGGGTGACTTGGACAAAGCGGACAGCAGCCACATTGAGCTTTAAGGTCAAGTTGGGGCTCTCAATCCTACCGCCACAGTAATGCACGCGGTAACAAGCACCAAGCGTGTCCTACTGCACACCAGTAGACGGCACACATGTCGAGTGTGAGCCAGTCCAGTTCAGACGCGGTTAGTCGGGATGGCAATCAACGGTGGTAGCGCGTATGCGCACGCAACAGCATGTGACAGATAATGAACGAATTTTCTTGTCAACAAAGGTGCAAAATCCGAACCTGCGGATATCTCCTCGTACCCACCAAAGATTTCAAGTGTAGTACGGTACGGTAATGGTACGTCTAGCCGCTCATCAGCAAGACACGTAACTGAATCCTATCGGCATTTTAAAGATGGCCGTATGTCCGGCACAACAGTTGTTCCTGTGGATATTCATTCAGCACGTGGAACGTTCGCCCGATCCTGGGTCCCCAATCAACACATAACTGAAGTGTGATGAAATTTAACAAGAGACGAACCTTTTTAGGAGGATGGTAGAAATAGAATAATCAATCAAGGGCATTTGCAACTTTAAAAAGTTGACGCAGCCTAGGCAACAAGGCAGATTCCTGCACTGATGAGGAAGTGAACCAGCTCATGCTGTCAAATCCTCCCATACCAAAGCTTTCAAGGTATGAATTAGATACTGGGATGAATTTAGAAATGGAGTAGAAGACTGCAATAAAATAAATGCGATGTCTGCCTATTGAAATTTGGTCTTTTCCTTTGTAAAGTCAAAAGGATTAATCTAAGTTGCAATTCCCTCGTACATATATATTGGAGATTTCCACGCTACTGGTGCTTTGCACAACCTACCTCCTCAAAGGGCTCTAGTTGAAGTTGTACGTCGGCAATGCGTTTTTTGATCTCCCTCTCTTTCTCTGCGTTGATGTCTTCCGCAGTGAGGACAGTGTTCAACCGACTGATCAGTGCCCTCACGCTCCCCAACTCCTTCGGTCCTATGTCCTTGGGCAGGCCTGCCAACACGGAGGACAGAGAGGTTAAGTCAAATCAATCATCTGGGCTGGATTAGACTGAACTGCCTCAACTGTGTCCAGGATGTACGTCAAAAGGTGACAACTACCGCTATCACTTCAATGCAAGGCAACTTGACGGATCCGTTGAGTAGTTAAATTCTCAGTACTTTGAAGACAAGCGTATCAAAACAAAATAAGCCTTACTTTCTCCCTTACCTTTTAGGTTTCGTATTTCATGTGTGTACTTGACTATGGCAGTCTTTTAAGCCCGCCACGATTTGGCAACCACACAGACAGTAGGGGTCTTTGCTTATGATAATCTGTACCGCCAGCTTTCCAGCCCCTCCATGCACTTTTTGATTAAACTGCTTCCAGGCTCGTCTTGAAACACTTTCAGAGAACTATAATAGATTCGTAGCAGTCAAATCTGATATTTTGTCACAAAAAGCACAGTTAAACCTATTGGAAGGTGATCCCTCTCCTCCTCAGTTGCTACAAGTTTTGTGCATCCCTCCAGCAGCCAAATAGCTTACACTTCAAATTCTGCTTAGAGGAAAAAATTCTCCCTTCTGCCATTTCTACACACTTCTTCTAACCTTTCGAAAAAGACGTGTTTCCATCTGAAATACCCAGAGGACACGGTCTCTTTACGCTAGTGGGAGAAAAACTTGGAAGTAGGGAGGAAGCACTTCGTAGAAGCACTAAGGGAGATGGTTCTCCCTATTGCTACAGGTCTGTACTAGTTTTCCAGTAAAATAAGTGAAAAAAAAACGGAATGATCGCGAGTGCCTGAAAAAATTTTGGTGATATGACCTCGTCGAAATGACGAGGGGAATTGCATTGCGGAGTAAGTCCTTTTGGACACGAAGCATCCCTCATACGACTGGATGAACGGCTGAATTTCTAGTGCTTCGTCAAATAACAGACCTAAATGCACGCCTTTAAAGTGACATCCTTCCTCATTTTGCCCACTAATTTCTACACTCTTGAAGAAAATTGCAGTTTCGCATATGCGATCACGGACACTAGGTCATGTTTCTAACTTAGTAAACTCGTTCATATTCAAAGATGCATCAAAAGGGAGGCAAAAAATTGAAAAAGATAAGTAAACACTTTTTATAAGTCGGATTGACCTCTCAGTTGAACCAAATCAGAGATGAGCACTTCCTCTTGATTGATGGCCTAAAGAAGCAATATCCTACCATTCACCACGATAACTGGCAATGCGAAAACCTCTCACTTCCTCGTCAGTCAAGTTAATAATCACAGCTACTCGGTAACTGATGCCCTGACTAGAGCCCAACTTGTTTTGAACAGCCCATTATAAGCGAAACTTCGTCTGTAAATCAAATCAGTTGTTTACTATGCTGCTGATTGTCCACCTCATGCATCATTATGTTTAAATCGCCTTTTCGTACTGGTCGTCTATTCATGATTCATGGACGCCGAAGGTCCAGATTAGGAAAAAGGCATTCATTTGAAAGTGGGTTCTCCATTTATTTCAGACTTTGCACTGGCCTACTAATCCACTGTAAGGATTGGAATTGCATAAATTTTCCTCACTTGAAGATGACAGTTACTTGCCTCCTTTAAGACCATTGCCTATTGCGTATTTTGAAGAGATTTTGACTCTTGGCTTTTCAAGCTTTACACTATTGGCCTGCTGGGAATTTTAAACAACGGCTAAAAAAATTTCACACACACTTTGCATGCTGTAGCTCAATAACACACGCACACACACACAGCACTTGTGCATTGTCTCCGCGCGCGCACATCTTGTTTCAACCTGAGAGCAGCAACTGGTGAGTAAGGCAGGTGTAAGAACATAAACTCCTACTTACTGTAGTCAAATCATCAGGGATGGTTCAACAAGCAGCACGACTGGGATTAATGCAGACGAACTAAGCCCCTGCCACCTCATAATTCTCACGTTACTTTTAGGCAGATACTTCCAACAGAAACAAAATACGCCCGCCTCAGATAATCCTCCATCCAGCACCATCTTTTTCCAGATAGATCTCTTCCCAATGTAGTTCGCTTTGCAAGGGATGCAATATCCATGGGAGTTACTACAACGACTCGTGGCAGCTGAAGCAGAACATTGACTACGACGTGTTGCGGGCTGCACCACCATCTCACCGGCATGGCTTTTCGTCCACGCTTAGGGCCTCTCTGCCCTTCCACATTAATGTGCCTTATTAAGTGTTTAAGGCTGACTTGAGGTGCCATGGTGAATAAATTGTTCAACCTAGAGGCACTTTTTCGCTTCCACTCCGGCAAGACACTTGGGAATGAATTTTGCGTAATTCTATCCTTTCTCATTTTATTTCCAATTACTCCAAGAGGACGTACTTCTAGCATTAACACTTCCTGTTACCTTACAAAAAGGCAATAGTAGTGCATCCTCACACACTTGTAAAGATACAGCACGTAAACAAATAGTAGGTTGCCGAAAAAGGAGAAAAGTACTTTTCTTGCATGATACAAACGCCGCCCAAATCCAAAAAGTAAAGCTATAGAGTTTAAGAGTCTTTTGGTTTTGTTTTTGCAAAAGCATCGAGCTGATCTCGCAGTGCTTGCCGTGTGTGAGTCCCGAACTATTTGTCAGTCTCGTCTCCATTTATCAACGATTACTGACAGACGAAAAGGGGATTAACACGAAAAACAGGGCTGTTGTTATCGACTTCGTATTTCCTACATTGAGTTGGAGGTTTTTAGTTTGCAGATGTGTAAGAGATTCTAATGGAAAATTCTGGAGCTCTCCGGGGTTGTACACATCTCCACCAATAAGAGTTTGATTATAAGTTGGAGATTCCGTTGATCCTCAAAGGATCAAAAGTACTATATATGTTAAAGAAAGTCAAGAAATCCAACTCAAGACAATACCGAACGAATCTCACAAACTAATTACGCTTACTGTGAAACTGTACATTTGTTTAACAGTAATAGGCGGTTTTAAAAAACCAACAAATAGGCACTTATCTTCATTGCAAGTACATTTTACCCCAAGATGGGAAACATTGTACTAGTTTCGCCTTCAAAATTAACTCACATTTCATTCTTCTATAGTAGCACTTAAGTGCATAAAGTGGTGACCATAGGAACTCAATGACCCGAGCAACCTGTTGCCTACACACAATGAGACTTGAGGTACGCCACAACATGCAACACGGGCAACAGAGCATTTCCGGGGTTGGATGCACCATCAGAGGAAGAAATTGACAGATTAAAAGCGGGAAGAGCTCCAAGTTTTAAAGTAATTCATACACTATCCACGCGCTACATTGTTAACGGTTAAAGCAATTACTTCAGTGCCATAAAACAAGCCAAAGCAGTTTCATTGTGTGCCGCGGAGAAGGAAATGATTACAGCGCGACTGCGGTTAAAAACTGTGCCTACGTAAAGGCATGGGATACTGAAGAATGAAAGACTTACCCAAATTTGAGATGCTGACGGGGAATTTCTTGTCGTTAATCTCCATTACAAAGTCATTGGCCAGCAGCATTTCAATGCTGTTCGCTTTGGCGAATCGCAGACCATCTAAAACGGTCAAATCAAGAAAAAATGGGCCACTTAGGCGCCCTGAAGTTGATTCATTTCTTACACACAAAAGAGCCGGATGAATGATAGCTCAGATGACTGGAAAGTCCTTATGCCACTGGGGCAAAAATTAGAGCCAGAATAACGGATCCGCGTTAAGAATGCCCACGTGATCGTAGACTAAAAGGCGCATTCATGATATAAATATGCGTGACTACACTCAGCATAAATACATAGGCTAATTGTATTATGGCTTTTGTCATTTGGCGTCTGAATCTAACCAACTTCTAATTAAAAACACCCCCGCAGGACAAGCCATTTTCCGGTTCAGAATACGGTGTGGGTAAATGTAAATGACCAAGTTGAGCTTTTAAATTGATCCATTGGCAGGAGCTTTGCAGCATCGCAAAGCGATATAGCCTTTGATAAAGAATCTGGGACAAAATTGCTTAAATTGTGACCGTGGTGTCACGTTTCAGCGAAATAAATTCATAATAATCATTTATTATATCTACCTCCATTCAAATTTCTCCAGTGTGGGAATTGTTCCCCCCTTTTCCCTACCTAATGCCCAATTCTTCGTTATAATCCACCTTTTGACATCTAGCCACTGGTAAGTGCGGGCGTTTGTTTGGGTCAGTAAATACATAAGACGTCTACCTCTCTAACCTGCCAACACGTTCTAGGCTGAGTACCTTCATGCGACTGAGTGACATTTTAAAACCACACACTAAGCAGCCGACTTCACTGTCTTAAAGCATAGATTCTCTTTACGGAAAACTCAGACCTGTTTTCAAATTTTAAATGACAGCTATTTTTGCAGCTGAGCAATCGACTTTAATAATCGGGAAATGCCCTTTCGTAAGCCAGTGTGGTGTAACATTACCAAAATAAACCACTATTTAAATGATAAATGCGTCTGTATGTGAACTCGATGTGCCACCATAACTTCTATGCAGCAATCAGAACACTATGGTGCAGCCTAAGCAGAAAAACAAAAGGCTGTGCCTTAGGAAATTGAATGCTTAATGGGTACATCTTCTTAGCTATGCAGAAAAAAGGCCGTTTACCTTGACGGCTTTACTTGGATACTACGCTCGAAGTAGGAGTTAAACTAAGGGGAATTTGAAGGATGGAAACACTAATACATGCCAAACGCGGATAGGTTGATCATGTTGCACCTGTACCACAAGCATGCAAGTGACTTATGGAATCCCTTGAGAATGCAGCCACCCAATGTGTCCACCATCTATCCTATCGTACTTTTATCCTACAATCATACTTTCCCATAATTTTTAAGCCGGAATTATCATCCAGGCATTTATACCCTCTATGGGTTTTAAATATGGTCCCTCTTTTGTATAAAATCATTAGACCAGTTTCAGCTCACTTGCCTAAACAGCTACTAATTTGAGCCGATGTATCATCACAAAAGATTTCCATTGGTGAAAAGGGAGCCTAGCCACCTAAGATAAATCAAGCCATTCTGTAGGCAAATATCGAGGCCTTCAGTAGGTAACTCTTCCCTATTTCGACGTTATAAGCAGTGCTTAGCAACGAGATAACCTAATTAGTGAAAAAAGATAGCTAACTCAAACATCATGAACATTAATAACTCTATTATAATAATGGATTTTAGTTACACTTCGGAAAATTAGGGAAATCAGGCACTGGCCACACGACTTCGGTGAGAAGGAAACCGACTGGCTCCGAAAGGCGAGGAGGGGACTAATTAAGTAATATACAAAGGGCAAGAGCGACATTTTTCGTTCCAACTTGGTAAACAGCATGTGGCGCCGAGGCAACCTAGATCGTGGAAAGAGAATGATACTTCAAATGGTTTGGAATAAGTTATTTTAAAAGACAAAAGATTCTGAACTAAACAGTGAAGTCCGATCATTGTTCAGAGATCTAGAGGAACCATACCGTAGGATCAACGACACAGGGGGAAGGGCATAGTTCAGGGAGTCAGCTAATTGGGCAATGTGGTGAGATATTGGACAGAAGAAATTAGACAGCAGAGCCAATCCGATAGTGCGCACTGCAAGTATCGTGACCATTAAGAAAGCACCTTGCAGGAAATTTCAGTTTATCAAGGTAGGTGGCCAGATTACTTCAGTGGAATAGAGGCCAGAAGCGGGTTGTCTAAACTGTCACCAAATCACTCAAGATATCATAGTTTTGAAGTAGGAAATGAGCTACAGGTCGTAGTTGAAGCTCACCCACCTGAACCTTTACTTGCAATTTAATTTTTGTGTGAGACTCAAAACACCGGAAAATCAGGGAATCTGCGTTGCGTCAAACAATGAAAGACGAGTAAGACCCTGATCAAATCTGTGGTACCGTTGGAATAAAAGGAATGGTTATGGAATCTCAGTAGCACATGAACGCAACTCAAAGCCGACAACAAATAAATCAAATGTGCATCAGGCCTTAGATGGGGCTGTCAGAGTAATCTGGGCTGAGAGATTTACCGAACAAATAAATAGGCACAGGGACCCACCTCGAAATGAAATAATGGTAAACATGAATCGATGATCAGTAGTTCACTTCACGTAATGGGATAAAATGCATGGTTTAAGGAAGAGAGAAGAGGCCAGCCAAAATTTAAGAGTCAATTTTTCGATTGGTCAATTTAGGAATCTTTTTTGAAGGATGAAAGGGAAATATGCTTATTTTGAATGAATACGTGAAGAATTACCTACGGGGAAATGTAAGTGCATTAGAGCGGCATAGAATGGAAGATTAACCTGTTCGACGAATAACACTATAAGCAACCATTGCATAATCGATAGCCCACAGATTTAAAACAGCTTCCTAGAGAAGTCAGCGATAAAAAATACCTAAAAGGCTAACCAAAGGAAGTGGAAAAATGGCGTAGCATGGGGAAATTATTACAGTATATAAAAGGTAATTTTGATAGGGCTGTTGTATAGAGTGGAGTCTGGTAAACAGATGTCAGATTGTGGCGACAATATAGACGACAATTTGCGAATAGAAATGCAGACAATTTTAAAAATAATGCCATAGCGCCTTAGTTGTAGATAATTGATGAGTAATTTAATAACAAGTCAGCATTGTGAAACGGAAAAATGGAAATCGAGGTGAATTTGTCGTACTTGGAAAATCTAGGTTGAATGTAGTTTAAAATGTGTGCTGACAAATCAGAGCTTCAGTAATCAAATTTAAAGGAATTTAAGCAACTGAAACACCAAAATAAAAGTAAACTCTGTCTAACCTGGAGATGTAGAATACGGCTAGGTAAAAAAATGGAAAGCTTTTGAAAGGACAAGAGCCAGAGAATCTGCCGGAGAGATTATGGAATATGCATACATTGATAATACAAAGGGCAGACTATCATAGAATAGGAGGAACATTGAAAATAAAAAGCGCACTAGTGCCCAGAAAAACCACTCGATCCACTCCCTTATCCTCAGCTTCAATGGCCTTCACAAGATCGCCGACGGTGTTGGAGAGGGGACGCAGGGCAAAAATACAGGTTTCATCGCGCGAAGGCAGAGGCACGTGGAAACGAGGGAGACCACCGGGGGTTAGAGTTACCGAGGCACCCGTGTCACCGGTCGAACTACACCGGAAGGATGCCACTGCAGCCGAGGCGCAGTAACGAGAGAAATGCGTTGGCTACAGAAGGTGGGCAATAAAAGACAGTGCGCATGTGAAAATAAAGTAACGTCCTGTCCCCTATCAATACTGATTAGCTTACAGACTAGAATAAAAGTGACGTCAATGTGTGATGGTGCTAAGTGGAAAATATCAAAAACTCACTTTTCTTTTATAAAAACATTTGCACTAAAAATTAAAGTTCGTCTTTCAATGGTACATTGTAGAAATATTTAGAAATAGCTAGACAAGGTAATACTGGAGAATGTGTACCCGACATCGAGGAACTAAAGAAAGAGCATACGGCATTGCACTAGAACAGAAAGCCTTGGCATCATATTGGCCCCTTCAAGGAGGGTACTGACGAACCAATGGAGCTGCGAATTCGGTTAACGGTGTAAACCAATCTTTATTCCTTGTCCTTCAAGTAGTATAGAAAATTTAAGATGGCTCTATAAAACAAAAACGGCAAGAATTACTATAGTACATAAGAATTTACTAAAGATTGGTTGTGCATAGTAAAACCTACCGATTTGTCCCCAGAAATATCAAAGGGAGAAACTTCATCCTTTATCGTGCAAAATGGGGCATATAAATCAACTTGCTTTCTGCAAATAGATCTTATTATCAAACTTATTGAATCTGTAACCTTGCTGGGTTAAAAGTATCGAGCTATCGCCATATATGTTATCTGGCGCCCGTCAACTTGGAGCTATAAATATCTGATAGAACAATGAGTGAAAAATGTTAATTGTAATTAAGGCCATGAGCAGGTATATCAAAAAAGTAGCTGGTAGGTTACATCACTGTGCAACTGCTAGTTGGCGGAAATTTGATTGTTTATTTACCTCGCGTTTACTTATTATTCTACATAGAATCGCACCCGAAACAATGACATTCTAATGAGAAATTCAAGTGATTGCGGTCAGCTTTAATCCATCACTTGAAATCGCATGATTACGCCTTGATTCATGCAGAGTGCGGATACACACACAATACAGCTTGAATCACGTTTTCGTATGCTTTGACGTATTAAGATCACCTTATTACTAGTGTTTTTTAAGCAAGTTTAGGGCTCAGTAAGGGTTGTGAAGCCAAAGTTTTGTCATTATTTCACTTTTTATTCCGATTTGCTCCTAATTCATTTGAGCAACGCCACTAGCATATTTATAGTTATTTACATTTTATTTATAACTTTGCACCCTCAACTTAAAATTGCAGTGCGAATACAGACACTACTGCCTTTGTGATTTTGCATCAAAGAAGGTGGTAATCTTTGTGGATCTAAAATTTTTCAAACATCTTAATTATATTTTTTAACTAAAATATTTTCTCATATCTATTTGAAAATTACAGCTCACTGCTAATAGTTTCGGCCGCAAATTTAGCTAGAAGTGGGAGTATTTTTAGTCATTTTTGATAAATTACGGTATTTTTCACCTTATTAGCGGATATTGTTTTGATCCTTTTTGTTGACTCATTGTTCCGAAAAAAGCTATCAAGTTACGATTTCAAGTTAGCTGGACAATTTTTATACCTTTGTGCTTCTTGGAAATCTTAATAAAATTTCACTGCTAAGTCCGCCATGCAAACTTTGGGTTTTGAGACAAATTGTGTGCATCCTACATCCTTTGGATCTTAATTTCTGAAATTTTTGTTTTGCACTCTAGATATATAATGAGTTATATTGCAAAAAAGCCCTCTGTCCCAAACCAAGCGTCCCCCGACACTTCAAGCAACCGCGGCATTGGCTACAGCGTATCAAAGCTTTTCAGTGAACAACAAATGCAAATCTTCGATGAATTTGGCAACGATCTTACCCCTCTTCCAATGATTTTTGAAGATAAAAGGGTTCAGCAGATGGATAAAGAAAATGTTAGTAATGATTGGAGTAGCGTTGGCCTTGGCATAACTCATAATCACTAACCCTCCTTTCTTCACTTTTAGACATTAGATCCATCAATTCTTCAGACGTCCCAGTTGCAATTCTTTAATCTGCCCTTCTCGAGATCCCTTCAAAGTGTTTCAAATCCTTTCAGCGAAACAACTTCGGAACAGTCTGAAAGTCATGTGACTAAAAATGAGAGTGTAGCAGAAGGTGAGAGCTTACACTGAATTCCCACCAACCACTTTTATTCTATACAATCAATAAATAGTAGTAATGCATTCACGACCCACCCAGTTCTCTTATTCTTGTCATTTTTAAGCCGTCTTTGAATAATGTGTCCCACTTTTTTCACTTAGTGAGGGAGATCGAAGAGGAAGAAACCTCGGAGAATATTGACTTAGATGAGCAGATTTACATAACTGTGGCGGAGACTGAAGTTTACTGGCTCTTCGATCAGCAGCCGTATTTTATGCCTAGTGACGATGAGTTTGCTTCCTATCAAATTCAACGCAACTCCGACTACAAGGCCGTAAGACCTCCTTGTTCTTGCGTTGGAGCCAACCACAGGGTGTTTAATGTGACCCATTTTGTTATAGCTGTGCGCCGCTCGTCTGGGAAATGACCGATATGTGGAACGAGGTATGAACACTATGCCGAACCCGACCATTGTCAAGGTGTCGCAAACTAAGGCAATCAAATATTCTGATAAGGCTGTCAATGCCACCGTGTACGATATATGGGACAGTGTCCAACAGGCTCTAAAAGAAGGTAGCTTAATGATCTATCTAATTTACTTAAACAAATGAGTCGAGATATCTGTTTTATACTGCATTACTTCCCTAATAAGTAATGATTTCTTGCTATACTCGACTGCGCATTCCACCATACATTATAAAAATTACTTTAGAAACAGACCGCCTGCACCCTACATCACCTTTTATTTCTTCACCCTCAATAGGTTATGGGAACCGAGTAGATAAGACGCCACGATTGGATCAGGATGCAACGAATAGTCGACCACCTATGCGTTCATCTGACATCCCAACGGCAATTTCTCGCAATCTTATTGACAAAAGCAACCCATTACAGCTTTCTGAAGGCATAGGAGATGTGAACACTGTGTCTGGTGAATGCGTCTACAGTGATAGAGCCTTCTCTGTGGACACTGGCGAAATAATTTCTATGAACAGTATGCCTCAGTAATTTTTTGTGCAATGTTACTGTCAATTTGTTAGTAACAAGTTTTGATAACTTCTTTGTGTCAAGCTGGCTCAGGCGACAATGTCACGACATTCAGTAAATCCCAACTATTACAATCACTCGATGCCAATGTAGGTTGCTTTACTAAAAGTTTTTCGTTAGATTGATTTGCCTTGTTTAATAACTCTACTTTTGGATCTGTAGGATCGAAATCTACTTAATCTGCTGAAAAACATGGAAAAGGCTCTCAACCTGAACTGCTATTATGAGAAATATCTGCACTACAGATCGGTGCTTCTAAACAGATGTAAGTTCTATCTTTTTAGTTTAAATGAAAATGGCTTTCATACCCAAAAAGGTAAAAATAAATGTCATTGCTTTCGTTGTAAAGTAGCTCATTATCCTTTAAATGATATCATTATAAGTCTCCTATGTGACGTTTTCTTGTTTAACATTACTTTCCAGTTGTTCAAACTTCTGCACCTATAATTTTAGTCTTTTTGGGGATTGTGAAATTACTTTGACCTATTCTTAGGTCGGATTCAGACAAAATTTGTTGCAAATTATTTTCCATCCCAAACAGGTCGTAGTGGGTGTTTGTTTAGCTCATTCCTCAATTCTAATTGTTTAATGTTGTTTGTCTTTTTAATGCCTGTAAAATTAACTAAACCACGATCCCTATAAATTTTACAGGCAAAATTTGTACTGGAAAAGGGCATTGGTTGGTGAATTATTTGATCACTATTCAAATTCGTGTAAAATTAAAAATTCCAAGTCTTAGAAATGAAAATGACTGTACTAAGTCACGAATTTGTCTTCAGTTGGGAACTAATTAAGTAGGTATGAAATTCCATGCAAGAACTCATGTATACGACATCTGAGATTCACTTGTTTTCTCGAAATTTTTGGATAGATTCTTACAATTTAAACATTAATGTGCTTTTTTAAACAATACTACAATGGACGGTCACAAAAAAGGGAAGATAATCATTTTCAAGATATGGCAACTAAGGGGAATTTACCACCATACACTTTATGTACTTAGCTTAGCACTAAAATGATACTTGTCAGACAGTTTAGGTATGGAGAGATTCATTAGTAGCCTGAACCATTCGAAGGTAGCATGCTTTACTTTGTCATAAGTGCGGGTAGCCCTCTTTGCACCCAGGATGTGTCAACCTTTTGAAATCGCATAGATTCTTATTCGCAACCCATGGTGCCGTATTTACCGTTCCCACAGAAAGAGCTTCCTTTTGTAAAACTACACTAGGGGTAAGCGATGGGCCTACTGGGCGGGCACCCAGCCTGTTGGGTAAATGGTCACGGGAACGATCTGCCACGGTTAGAACTGTCAATAACAGGCATGTGACCGTTTTTTAAACGTTGACACCATTCACTTAAATACTCTGTTGCTGAGGCACTGAACTTCCCGTCACCGCACCACATTGTAGTTTAAGTCTTCGTTAGGTGAACGTAGATGTCTGGGCGTTGGGATTTAATGCCTTCGTTCATCACCGGCCACATGGTGTCGCATGCGTCCATCCACTACTAATGGGGGCTGGACTGAGCTACCTCACACACGACATGTGCCTGCTAAACAATTGTAAACGAGACGTGGCACTTAATACCGTGTGTAGTACAGTAGTGCCTTAAACGAACACGAAGTCAAACCTTCAGAACCCACCGCTAAAAATTGTAATAAATTATCAGTTCCGGAATTTGCCCCCATACGTCAAACACTTTAATTCCATTTAAAATTTGCTTTTACACCTTACTTGCAAAAAAAATAAATGGTTAACGTACAAACAGGGTAAGCTATCGCCCAATTCTGATTTTCCACACCAGTACCTTTACAGCACGATGCAACGATGCTACCTCTACAGTAAACTAATTCAATGGCAGACGTTTTTTTGCACCCACAGTAAAGCAAAACCCAGTAAGGAATGGGACCGTAGACTTAACGACTGACGTTTTTTCGTCATTGCCAAGAAGTTAAATTGGGTAAACTTTGTGTGCCACGGAAGCCACATAACGAAGGTACAACTCAATAAAGAAAACAGGCGCTATACGCAGTGTACAAATATTCAGCCACTTTATAATTAAATAAGGGCATGCAGGGAAATGAAAATTTTTAAATATATGTAGATGATAACTAGAGAAAGAAAAAGAATAATGGAAAACTGCAACTGCAAATTACAGCATATGTGATTTTAAATGATTTTGTTGAACATAATTGTTTGTAAAGGAAGAGTTAGGATTATTTTGAGGAAATAAGGGCAATGTAGTTTTCCATAGTGTTTCTCAACTACCATTAATATAATTTGTTGTGCGCATTCTTGTAGTGTTCGAGGAGAGTCACAAAACCTCGGAGGCCTCAGAGTCGGATGCAACTGCGGCGCCCTCGCCCTCCGCAACGAAGTCGAATAGAGCTAGCGCAGCACCCTTGATGTCAGGTGTTGGAGAGACCGAGGCGGAGGGGCCGCGTCCCTCAGTGCGCCAAACCACGTTCGTTCGCCAGTCTCTCGTTTTGCCACCACTGCAGCCAGACACCGCCACCACTGCTGACACCCACGATCCCTCCACCCCTAATGGTGGCGGCGGTGGTAGTGGCGCTCCGACAGAGGGTAGTCGCATGAGCGGCCCCAACACCGAGAACGGTGTGGAGCGAGCATCTAATGCAACAAGAAAGGCCACAGGCAACAAACCACTGGCCGTGGAGGCGACGCCTAGTTTGTATTTAAATGGTTCCAGCAACATCTACACCCCACCTGCTCTGCTGCTGCTCTGGAGGTTCGGTTGTTCTTTCACAAAAGTGAGTTGATGAAGCAGATAGATGGGTGATCTATAGCACTAATAAAGATCTTTTAAACATTTAACGGCAGTCTGATTTTGTTACCAAGATAATAGTGGAGAGATTTGAGAAATTCTCTTTATTGAAATGATACTTAAGCATCGAAACTTGAACAACATCTCATCAGTCTTATTGTAACGTGTATAATGAGGTTAGGTGCTAAATTTGTTAAGCATTTAATAGTAACTCGGATTTTTCGTCTTTTTTCGGAACCGATTTTTTTGCCCGAGCCTTGGCCTTATTAAAGTTGAATTAATTAAAGCATTTTGGGTACGACGAAAGTCATTTTTTTGGCAAGAGAGTAAAACTGAAGAGCATATAGGTAGTTTTATTTTGGAAGTAGTGATGACCACTCCATACAATGTGTAATTAAAGGCCTAAAAGAATTGTGCTTTTTTTACCGACACCTGTCTTAGCATCTCCAATAATATCTGCGGCATCTTCGGCTTACTCTCTGTAAAGGTTTACACCTCTCCGCACTTTTGGATCTAGTAAATTGATGGCGTAATCTTTACGAGCAACTAAATGATGAATTTGCATTGGTCTGTATCCAAAAATGTGTAAGAACAGATGTGAAAAGTTACTTTTAATTTCAAATGAGCTGGCTATTTGTGATTGTGTTTCAGGGTAGGAACGTGGCCTCGCTTGCCTTTAACCCTCGAAACAAGGACATTCTGGCCGTTGGCTACGGTGCTTTCGAGTTCGACCGGCAACAATCGGGTCTGGTGTGCTGCTGGAGCGTCAAGAAGATCAATTTCCCTGAGCGCCTCTTCTGCACTCCCAGTGGTGTCACTACCATTGCGTGGTCTTCCAAAAACGAAAACCTTCTAGCCGTTCGTAATCACTCGTTTTAGCCGGACTTTTACTTGACAGCTTCATCAAAAAATTTAGATAACTTTCCATCTATAAGGCAAATTTTTTGTAATTGTCTAAAGGTATTTAATCGACTCATTTGCATGGAGATTGTGATTCCAGTTTGTGTAAAACGGTATGAACTAATAAATAATTATACAAACACGAAGATATCAAGATCTCAGAAAGTGTAATCATGGTATTCGATTTCGGAAAATGTACTTTTAGGTTGGAATGTTTAACGGCGTCATCGCGATTTTCGATGTACGTAAAGGCAGCCAAACTCCAATCCTCGACACAACGCAAGTCCCTACTTACTTCTGCTGCTAATGGGAATAAGTAGGATACTCCTTCGTTCAATAATTTGTTGTGCTTTAAACGTTGTAGACATGCGACGGGACGTCACTACTCGCCGGTGTGCAAATTGGAGTGGGTCTCGCGGGAGGCAGGACGGTCGGCCGGTCATGCAGAGAGTCTCATCTCTTGCTCTATGGATGGAAGAATCACCGAGTGGTTCACACTCAAGGGTTTCGATTGCACCGGTAGTTTTTGTCTGGAGCTTCCCTCCTGTCTGTGTCCACTTTTATTTTGCAAACCATTTTTAAAAAGCGGCAGTCTAAATAGCAAATCTCCTCATATTTTCAGTTAAAGGTCTAGTCCAAAATACTGAGCCCATAGCTGTGTCACTATGTATAGCTCTAATGTCAAAATGATTATCAAAGTTTAACAACATCCGTCAATTTATTGTCTCACGTTTTTTGCTGTTAGCAGGCAAGATAAAATTAGTATTTTTCTATTTGTTAAAAAGGTGAATGTGATTACCATGTTGGTAAGTTTGGGATGTTGTTACTGTTGTTCCTCATCCGATTTTTGTATTGCTATATGTTTTAACCTTTTATGCTGTGTTATGGTTTGATTTTGTAGAGGCATGTTTTTGTTTTCAAAATTTCTTCTTCAAGTAAAAGCTAGAAGTAGGATAGCTTAGCCATCAGTAATGATTTATATACCATTTTCTTATGCAATACTGAGTTAATGGCATTTACTGTGGAAAAACTGACTCGCTGACTCATTTTGTAATCCAGAGTGCTGATGATACTTTTAGAAGTCTTTTTTAAAACGCTAAATGTCTAAAAAAAGCTTAGTAAGCTAGCTTGCTGGAATGATTTAGCATCGCAGACTAGCTGTGCACAGTTGACAGCCTTTCATGGAATCGGGTCCTTAGTTTTTGAAAATCATACTCGCAGATTGTGGACATCAAAACTGATAAGATGATATCCGTATGTTTTAAATTAACCGGACTGCTGGCCTACCTTAGATTAGAACCTTGAGCAAGTCGATTGATGATAAAATGTCTATCTATTTGAACAGATTGATTATCTTTGATCTTTGACTTCATTTATTTACCAAAAACGTATTTCTCCTACTCTTTTCATTTTGACAAATAATTGCTCATGTTGGGATCAAAATTGGTGGATGTGTCCAGTGATTCAGACAAGCTTTTGGCCCTTGATTTCCGTCTGCCAACGCTTGCGTGACGTTGGAGTTTAGTCATACGGCTGCTTTTTCCTATTTGCGACCTCCATGCGTCCCTGTTACCACAACCTTTGCCACCTTTTCGCCCTTAATCAAAGAAAATCTGTTGATAAAAAAGAAACAGTTGCCACACAAAATGGTTTTATAAGGGTTCAACATTATTTTAACCGAGTTGACTTTTTGCTACTCTTTTTGAGACCTGATGTTGCTGAAGAGGCCCAGATTAAAGATTCCGAATTACGCAATGAAGAAGAAGCACGCGGAGGCGCTCATTGTTAGACATGCGGTCGGAACCGCCCTCTGCTTCAACGATCTTGATCCGAATATGTGAGTTTCATTTAATCACTTGTATTTGATTGGTTAGCCTCTTGCTAGACTTGAGTTACTTTGTGCGAAGGAGACTGTATATCTGTCAATAGATTTCAAGCTTAAAACAATAATACCACCATAACTTCAGCCCGTAAAGTTATTTCCCTCCATTTTTAAGGGATTGGCTTTGATTTCTTGGGAATTTTAGATATCTTGTTGGTACAGAAAATGGCCAAATCCACAGATGCTCGTGCTCATACGCTGAACAGTATCTCAACACCTACAACGGTCACACTGCAAGTCTGATGCATATTGTTGTTGTTAGCCCACCTCAGCAGAGATGAGTAGGTTGTGGTTGATTCACATGGCATGCACATTCACCCATCAATTTGGTGAAAACGACCCGTTTGTCTCTAATGTTCGAACATGTACTCCATGACTAAGCTTTTCACTTTCAAGGAGAAGTGGGTACCTTAACATTATTTATGTACCAATATTGGTACAAGCTATGGTTTCTACTTAATAGATGTGTCATTTTGACGCAAGGCTTCACAATACAGCTTCCTGAGTTTTTGCGCTAGCTAAACTTATTCAACACCTTTTAAATATTATTTTTAATACCAACCAAATTCACTACAAAAGAAGTTTTAATTGATTTTCTTCGGTTGTAAATTGGTATCCGCTCTTTTTTAGCACTTAAGCACTTTTTTTCAAACCTCGCGACATCTTTGCAAATTGTACTAAAGTTGGGATCTTCTTTAGGCACCTGAATTGAAATATTTTCCTTTGTCTCACAATTTTTAATAATTCACTTGAGTACCGTTTTTTGCCACTTGTTCTACAGAGTTTAAAAGTTTGTCGCTACTATTCATCGCATATTTGAAAGACCACTTTCAAATATTTTGAGTCGGCGAATCGCCTGTAGTAACTAAATGCGAAAGATTCCGCCTTCTCTACGATCGTCATTTGGTTTTTCCTAATGAGCGCTAAGGTGGAGTTTAAAAGTCATTTATCAGCTTCCTCTTATCTGTACGTTATATTTACATGAAAATTCACGTACATTTAGGTGGTGCCCTAGTTAGCCTAGGACAGTGAATGCATTTAACCAGTTGGAGGGCGGAGAATGCCTTGCTTTCATAGACACATAGTAGGGAAGGTTAGCAGGTCGCCAACATCACTGACAGATGCCGCGAATATCCCTTCCTAGCTTTACTCCATACCTCCCTCTCACCTTATCCATTCACTTTCACACACCAACGCGCACATGGGATTCCTAGAGCAGGTGTTCCAGCAGCATAGAAAGTGCCAGCCCTTCTCCCTTCCCTATCTTGTATAAACTTTTGCTGTGCTGTCGCTTAATGCGGCCATTGCCATTTTTGATTAAGATGATGGCTGTTTTGCATCCGGCTATGCAATGCACCAGACTGAATAGTTCTGGCATGCAATAACTTAAAGAACGATTATGCTTGCCTTATTCCAGAATGTAGAGACGATGAACATAGCCTTCAGATAAACTTCCTACTGATCTTATTTGCAATACTAGCCATATTCAGGGTTGAGTTTAGTGACTTTAATAAATTAACTTTTGTTAAAGTATGTGAAGCTGAGAGGACTTTGTCTCTTCGGTATAATTTGAATTTTCATTTACAAAAAGGTTCCTTCAGACGGGGTTAAGCAGATAATGAAAAATCCAAGTAACTCATAACACTAACATTAGGAACACTTGTTAACAGGCCTGGGATATTTTCTAGTGTAAGTAATTCAACAACAAACAATTGTAGGTCAAACACTTAGGTACGTGTGAAGGGAGGACGGACAGGCAAGTAGATTAAAAATAACGTTACCCTCTTTCAATTTACATATTTTCTAGAAAGTTGTTTTTGTTGGAAACCGTTTTTGATTTATTCGTGACCATTTATTTGTGAAAATATAATGTGTCGGTATTCGGTGCTTCCTAACAATTTTTTGGGAATACTTATGGAAAATACACCAAAAACAAGATCTTAGGGATATTAGCTAAATTCATCGGTGTTTGAAGTCTTAAATTTGACTATGAACGTAGCCTACGTTAAATCTTAGGGTGATTTGAATAGTGAGGCCGTTGTATGCAAAGTATGGATTCCTCTAGAGTTTCATTTTTTCCTAAAGGCCTTCCGCCCTAGAAGTAGTCCCGTAATCAGACTACTGATAGACCAGGACCTAGCATGAGCAGGGCTCCATGCCGTTAGCATAGAGACTGACACGTTAGAGACCGGAAAGGTTCACGTAGTTGTATGTGTGATTTGGGTGAATGTTGGAGCGTCTTTTTCGATGCCTTCTGTAATTACTGTTTTTGATAATCTTTACAACATCATTCAAGCGGATCATGAGCTGATTTACCACTATGTGGTAATAGGATGCTTAAATCAAACGGCATTTGCATGTTGGCTTCGATGACTCCGCAGCACTAACGTGAGAGGTTGGATGATGCTCTGCAACGAACACATTTTGTTGATTAACTGATGGTGATTTGGACATGTACCCAGGCTTTTATCCATTTAATGAGTCAAACAACATACAGAAGCATCTAAACTAAGTCCTAATTTTACTCCTTCCTCCCATCTTATTGCTATTTTAATGTAGCTTGTTCGCTCCTCTAAATTTTTCTTTCCCTCTTTTTCCGCAGAGAAGAGTTAGATCTCTAGGTCATGACCGTATTTCACTGTTGCTATTTTGGTTTGCCCAAATCTGGTCACTATATAGATTTGGAGTTTGAAGTCTTCGTTAATAGCCAATGCTGTTTCAACTGTTCTCCTTAAATAAGTATTCACAGGTTCAGTCCATACCCAGTAGATTAATGCCTTCTCTTATGTTTTGGCATAAGATGAGCCTGCAAAATCTGATTTAATGTTTTACTTTGGGGTCACCAGCGTCGCCAGAGAAGTGGCGCCAGTTCTATCTCAGAAGACGGGAAAAAACACACAAGTCTAGAAGTGGTTTTATTTAAGTAATGCAGAAGGATTTATGGTCAGTGCTATGGGGAGAGCATGGGTAGAGTTCGATCCCATTGATGTGTGGGTAGACCTGCTCGATCATTGTGGCACAAGCTGACTTAATTGTGACACATTTAATGCATCAAAACCATGCAAATATATTGCCTGTCCGCCTACCCGCCTTTCAGTCCTCCGTCTACGCAGTGAAGTATTCACCCTTCCTGCCCGATGTCTTCCTCTCCTGTTCTGCTGACTGGACCGTCCGACTTTGGCACTCAGATCGACAGAAATGCTACCTCAACATGGCGACTCACTCGGTAGTAAAGGCTTGCATTTTATAGTCAAACTTCTTACACAAAATGTTCGATCCTTGGGCGCTCAGTAAGGATATTGCTAAATTTAATTTTTTGAGTGAGAAATGATTTGACAGCTAAAAACCGTTTTGCTCTCACCATTTTTAAAACTACAGCTCTTGTGAAGACAATTGAGTAAAGTAAGGATGCGAGATGGAAATCATTCATTCTATTTAGTTAATTTACATGAGTTTTAGAAAGTGTTGTGCCTTTTTTGGAATTTGTGTGGACTGCATGATTTGTGCCAAATAGCTACTTGAAAAAGCCGCCTGTAACTTACCACTACCACGTATTGCAGTGGCAAAAATTTACTCAATTTCATTAGTGCCATGCAAAGTTAGACGCGAACGAAATCTTAAGGGCGGTTTTCCAGCCCTAATCTAAACCCATTGAGATTTCTGGAAACTAGTAGACACTTTGATAATAATACGAATTCACATATTTCAGTGGTAAAAGACCAAAGTAGCAGATCAAGCTTCTTCACTGTATAGCTGAAATCAGAGATTAATGATTAAAATCACCTTGGCAAAAGTAACCTGTTAATTTTGTGTCAAAGAAGTAAACTTTGCTTTTAATTTACTCGTTAGTTAAATGCCGAAATGCATTGACCGGCTTAGGCAACGTAATAACTTCAAAACTGACTGTAACGATGCAGTAAGTTCGCAAAAAAACAACGCTTTTTAAAAATTTGCTCATTAAGGACAGTTCCTCTCGGATTACCTATGTGTAACTCTTCACTTCTTCTATCTTGTATTCAAATTCACAAATTTCAGTAGTCACGTGATTGTTTTCTTGGGCTGGGAAGGATTGTATCTAGTTTTTGAGCCACAGTTGAACATAATAGTGAAAGTCAGTGTCATATAAGAGCAGTAAACTCTTTGGCGATTGTGGCAGTGAACCAATTAAATTCATAAATAGATCGAACAAATTGGTTAGGATATTTGCTTAACATTTACACTTTTGATAGCACATCGACTTAAACTGACCACGCGCTTCATCGAAAATAGCCTTGATGCTGAATGTTTGCTGAAACTGTTTGATAGCATCAGATGTCTTGCGTGCTGCAACGTGCGCAGTGCCCCTGTGGTTGAATGTCACTAATAACCAAGAGATTGCGACAGATCAACAAACACGTCCCGGAAGCGGTCCAGTCGCCAATGTTTTTCCTGACTCCTAGCTAGAACTGGAGCAAATTAGGCCCAGCCTATCCAGCTATTTTTACAAGTGAATAACACCTCTGGGCCTAGAAAAACTTGACATTTGGGGGGAATTAAGCAAAATTACATCCTTCTGGTGCCTGCAACATTTCGCTAGTTTTAGGGCCACTTTCTGCAACCACGCCTTTGTCAATTGTTTAGTCTTCAAAATAGCCAAATCAAACCACAAAATCTTCCTGATATACCTGCTGTTAGGCTACAGTACATTTATCAATGTCTCGGTGATCAGCACTCCATTGTAGTATTTGACCTCTCCATTCTATTCTCTTAAATTCTCTTTGTAAGAAATCCCCTATTTTAAACACTTTTTTCCACCTTGAGTGATTACTTCCAAAACATTTGGCTCCTTAACAGGAAACGGTGCCCTATTGATAGAGCACCCATGCGCCGTTAGGTGGCTGCAGAAGCATTAAATCCTGTTCTTTGTAAAGGGTTGGAGCGGAGAACTTTATTGGCAGTCCGATGTCTCCATCACCAAAATGTTTGTTTTTACTAGCTCAATCATTTTGACGAGAAGACCAAACAAAATTTCTAACTAGCCCTTTTGCACCATTGAAGCGACTGTTGCCTTTAGCTACTCTCCCGATGCTATTTTCGTTTAGTCCGCGGTGAACGACTTAACGTGGTCGCACAATCATGGAGCCGTCTTCGCCTGCACCAATGAAGGCAATTTGGAAATTTGGGATCTCGAACGATCAACGTGAGTCTCTGATACAGCAGAGTCTAATTTGTATTCATTGTGCTTTATTTAGTACCCCATAATGCTGTCAATTTTCACATCCAATCTCATCTTGTAGACTCACTCACTTTGTAGCCAACTCGAGCTGTGATTTCAATGCAAATTATAAAATGGAAAAATTTTGGCGACATTCTCATCAAATTTTATTTGAAATTCTGTAAAAGAGCTTCATATAGGGCTTTACTGAATAATTCCATTTTTAAAATAATACCTAAATTAAGTTGTGTTACTCATACGGCGGGACAATCACAACAATGCCTTGACCTTTCTTATCAATACCCATCTGTTTCGGTAATGGGAAATGTAGTTTGCTGTTAGTATTCGGTTTTGGCTTGACTTTGGCGAATTTAGGCAGATAGTACTTGATCCACGAGACCTCCACATTATTACTATGATTAAGCTGTTTTCAATCAAGATCTCATACATTTGTTTTGTCGAATCGCATTCATTCCATGAGTTTTAATTTACCTCAAAGAACTTTCAAGGAGTTCGGTCTCGTACGAGGGAAAAAGGTGGAATTAAGGTCTCGCAGATTACCGTGTAGGTGTGTTTAGGAGGAAGGGATCACAGATGCTGTCTAACTTTGTTCACTCGTTTTCCGAGCCGGTCGGTCGGCCAGTCAGTCAGTTGGTCTCCAGAACAACGCTGTCTCTAGTCTGGTGCACACAGGTACGCAAGCGCGTGAACACACCAGACGCCCCATCACCGGGTGAAAATCCAACAGAAATTTGATTCCGCCTCCAAACCCACCTTCACCTCGCCTCCCAATAGCATCAAGGACAGCGACGTGGCATGAGATCTTTGGCCCATCTGAGTCAATGCCGCAAAGTGTGTGCGGTGTTCGATTGCATGCCGTGGAATGAGAGGCGATTGGGAAAATGGATTAATGACCACGCGAAATGTAGTTGAATAGGTGCCGTCATGAGGGCATACAACTGCATTGTGCCTTGTTTCATATGCAAAATTGTAAGCTGCGTAGTGTCAGAATGCAATCTATGGTCAGTTAAACGAGGGACAACAAGTCTTATGGTGGTGTGCCAATTATATCACAATACACATACAGGTTTGCTTTACTTGGCATAAAAATGCGACTTCAAATATTGATGAATCTCTTTTAGGTTTCAAAGTTTCTTGTTCACATGCATTTTGTTTGTAGTTTGAAGGAATGTTCCTGAATTCGGGCAGTTGTCCGCTTCTTAAGTTCGTATAAATGCCAAGCTTTGATGGTTCTAATTTAAAATAAGTGGAAATTCGCTTACTAGATGTACCTCTAACGACACCTTATTGAAGACCGTAATATAGTGACATGAAGCCCCTTTCAGAGTTTAAGTAGGTAGACGAGATTCTCCTTTCCTCACTGTCCCTCCAAAGTCGTTAGGGGGATCGTGTACTGTGGACCGTTAAGACGACAGCATAATTGACCTCCTTATGATCCACCCTGCAGTGCGGCTCTTTTAAAGACCACATATGATGGATTGACTTCTTTTGCAATTCAGAAGTGATTAAAATGACATCCACAGCTCTTCGCATCCATCTAAACAGCTCCTCTTGGCTTTCTAATAGTTGAAATTTAGAGCGTCGTAACTATAACGGCCTACTCCAAAAGCTGACTCTAAGTCATTGGGAAAGCACTCCAACTGGCCTCTTCGTAGTTGTTCACGAGCTTGCTTACCTTTACTGCACATCTCATATTGCAGTTGGTGCAAGTTTTGCCTAGAAGATAATCTAGAGTTTGATAAACAAGATGCCAGACCCGGTGTATATTGTCTCTAGTAAGAAGCGCAAACTAGTCGATTCTGTCAACTCTATTCAGCTTAAAATTTTGTCAATTGTTTGTGGATTCCCATGGGAAACCTTTACTGGTAACTGGTAGTCAACGCTGAAATATCTTAGTCATGATAATTTCATATATCATTCAAAGGGCACCTATTTTATGTAAGAGCATCAGGTTTTCTTTGCCTTGCACAAAAGCGAGACTGGACTGATTACGATTGTAGTGTAATCTGCTGGGACTTTTGAAGCGCTACATGAAGACATTAACACTTCCCTAGTAATCAAAAGCATAGGTGATTAAAGTGATATTGACCTTTCTAATCTGAACGGTTTTTTAACATTCTAATAGTGTAAGTTTAAAACCCCGTCATTAACTACCATTTGCAAGAAAAAAGGCACACATCAGTTCCCCTGCTTGAAATGCACAAGCCCTGTTCGAGTGCCCAAGACGTTCGTGTAGTGCACCCCTTACTAACGGGTTCATTAATTATGTGCAAGCACGCAAACGCCGGAGGCGGCGGTGGCATTACTTCGTACGAGGCGGTAGCACCGAGGCCGGATGATTGGGTGGGATGGGGCCTAGCACCTGCATGTAGGTGCATCTCCTCCCCCAATAGTAGACGCGGTGCCGCTTGTTTACACGTGCACCGGCCCACAAGGTCAGTTTGGTTGCTAAGCCCTTCTGATCTCCTCGCCTCACCAATGTGTGGTGAAGTGTTTGTTTATTTTCCCACTCTACGCAAATTGTGAGAATGCAGCGGGGAGATACATTTATGTACAACACAGCGAGTCTTTTATCCAGGCTGATGGTGCTTTTGACAGCGCAATTTTAATTTATGCCACCTCGGCGTTACTTATGTGATCCCATGGGAACGGTGAATGTGTGCCCAACCCCCCCCCCCCCCTCCTCTTTGCAACAATACATCAGTGGATATTGGCGTGATGCCTCGTTTTATACCCTGAATGCATAAACTCCCCAGTGAATATAGCTAAAAACTTATTGCTAGACCATCTAGTAGCAGAAATAGGTTCTTTTTGAGCCTTTCGAGTGTGCGCACAGGTGTAGACGATGTCTCCCATAAATACTACCAGAAAATTTTCAATTATTTTACGCCAATTATCTGTTGTCTGTCATGTTGCCTTTGTAAATGAAAGAGGCATGGCTATTACTTACGCATTGGAGAGAGGCGGTGACATTTTAATGAATTAAGCGCATCTTCCTCCTCTAAGCTCTCCTACCCTCTACCTTATAAAAACTTATTTGCATATCAAGGGGTGTGTTGCAGTATTGGTCAAGTGCTCCCTCAATATTCAGAAAGCGAATCAACAGGATGACATTTATGCGTTTGACTAAATGGCATGGGATTTGGTCTACATTTTCTCCCAACAGGATGCCCTTCTGCGCTTTTGGTATGAAAAGGAGGCGTTACTTACTCCGATAAAAACTCCAGAAGTACCATTTTGGTGTCTAAAAAAGACGGGTTATACTTTGAGCTATTAATAGAGGGACGGGGTATTTTGTTGGGAAATTAAGTATTCCATATTCAGCATTAAAATTGCCAATGATTCCATTTACTAGCCCACAGCCATTATTTGGAACCTTGTTATGATGTATTGCATTACCAAAATTATTTGTAGAAGAATGTCAAAAATACCAGCAAACCTTTGGCCCATACATGAGTCAGGGCTTTTGAAACTACTCTGTCCTTTCTCCACAACTTTACCGTAAACAACAGCAAATTGAACTGCAACAAGAAATTTGCAATTAAGTTGCTTTGAATTGCAATCCTTTGCTATGCAGATGCAAATTTCAAAGGTCGTTTCCAAAGCACATTTATTGCTTCATAATCAAAAAATGACGGAGTAGTCACCATTGACAGAATCAATGTTTAAAACCACTGCTTAGCTAAAACAGATTTTGCTAGAACCTCTTACTAAAGTGCTCATTTTTAACTCTATTTGAGACTTGATCCGGTCCACGTGGAATCCGTGTGTGCTGACACAACGATGTCTGCTGTTCTTTTCACCGAGGACAGCGATGTAAGTCGTTCTACATCCAAATTACGTACGACTCCATTTTTAAGGCAGATTTTTACTCCTATTTACATGGTTTTATTTCTGACGAACAAATATGCAGGTATAAATAAGTCACATGCAGTATCAACTCGAACCTCACGTGTTCGATGAGCACAGCCGATGAAGGTAAATATACATCCACATCCACAGCGCGCCTCAAATCTGTTCCTCCAATTCCTTCTGGCGTTGGTTGAACTCGTTCACACAGAAAGTACATACACGGGGTGGCTGTCCGCCACATGGAGTGTTGAGGTGTCGTAAACAGGGCTGTTCTGCGGCTGGAATACCGGTCACAAGGATGGAGTTGAGGTGAGCGATGTACGAGGTGGCTAGTCGAAGGGTCTCAATCTTCGAAAGCTTTCGGTTCAACGGCTGCGTGGGAATGAGACGACGGAGCATGAGAAAGGCGTCGTTGACACTGGCTGTGCGAGTGCGCTCTTTTGCATTCATCACGTGCTTGATGCGAAGTCGAAGATCTGTCTTATCACCACGCTGAGGCGGCATCAAAGAGGTCGAGGAGGTGGTACATGCAGGTGGAGGTGGCGGAGGGGGCTGTGGGCTTGGGTTGGAAGTATCAGACGTATCGAGAAATTCCATGATTGTGACAATTAATTTGCACCGAGTTGAGTGACAAGTTTGGCAGCTGGGAGGAGGAATGTGTGTGTTGGTGCGACACTGGTACTCCTTTCTCATTGGCTACTGCTGATGGCGAACGTGAGAGGTGCGTGCTTTTTGACCAATGAGGGGCTAGACAAGAGGAAAATCATTTCTAGGCTTGATGCCAGATATAGTTCTCTCATTTATTTATTTTTAATCCTGCCACTTTTTAAATTGCTCGCTCTTAAATATATCACTTCACTAAACTGAACTTTGTTAATTTTAACTATTGAAAAACACCAGTGGCGTTGAAGCCAAGCCGAGACTATTTTTGCAAATGTGTACGGAAAAAAAGAGATGCTGTTGGGGCGGCGCAGCACGCAGCAGTAAGTGGCGTGTACCATTAATAATAGCTGGCGTAGATGTTATGCACCAGTTCGGACGCTGCTAAGAATGATGGCAGGCCACAGCAGCGGTACGTGTAGGGAGCAGCGTGTATCGATGAAGTGTCTTGTCAACGAAAGCATAAAACCAGTGGATATATACAGAGGACTTCAAGCACAGCTTGGTGCTAAGGCGCTCAGCTGCAGTAAGACATTTGAATGGTGCAAACGTTTCACGGGTGACCGTATCTCCGTCAGTGATGATCTCGGTCGTGGTGATTCTCAGTTCACAGTTACCATTCCTGTGAACATCCAGCAAGTAGAACGTCGGATTCTAAATAATCCCCGTGTAACTTGCTGTGAGGTTGCAAAAGTGACTCACCTTTCTGTAGGGACGGTGAGTATCATCATTCAGGAACGATTACAATTTCGAAAAATTGGTGCATGATGGGTACCAAGACAGACGAAGGGAGGCAAATTGGTTCAGACGAGCTGACAAATCACTCGGCTACAAAAGTGCATTTAGGCTATTACTTTAAATCTAGGATGAGTACGTAAATGTTCAGAAATAAATTTAATTCACAATTCTTGAAATCTGTTCGTATTCCATTGTAAATTTAGAAGCCTCGACTTGGCTTGAGTGATTGTCGTGTTCCACATTGTTAAAGTTGGTACGACTCACCACTTCATTGAGAATTGACCGATGAATCATGCTTTCTCTGAAGCCTATTCCAGCATCTCTCACAGTCACGCATAAGGCTTAATTCATTGTGCCGCATGATTTCGAGTTTTCGGCACTGTTTTTCACTAATATGAGATATTCTTACGGAGTAGAATCCCCTGTATAGTTGTTTGGTTTTGTAATATACGAAGTGATATAGGCCAATAACCGCTTCTTCCATCTTTATGAAATAGCATAAACGAACTAAGTAATTGAATACAGCGCAAACATTAGACAACTTTCCCAATTTATCGCATATTTTGAAAGTTCACTTATAGCCCCCACAGCTGTTCCAGTGATGTTGATGTCGTAGCATCGGCAGCAAATGCTGGCGTTTTTTCGACGTGCCGCTGTGATAACTATGCAGGCTGCACATGCGTACGTTAGCAACAGAGAGAGGGAAGGAACAGCTGCAATTAGATGTCCTCTGTCAGTCGTTCATGCACCCTCTAGGCACCATCTGGACAGAGCAGAAGTTCAAAGGTTAACGTGCAAGCATTCGGACCTACGCTGACGCACATAGACCATTAACTGGTCTGCCTGCCTCCCCTTTCGCCTGACCATCTACTAGCCCCGTATAGCATGCACGACCTCCTTTCGCGTAGTTGAAATTCTCAGTCTGCTATTGGCCGGCCTTCAGAGTTGTCTTTTTTTGTGGTGATTTACGCCTTGTCTAAGTGCATAATATCACCATCGAGACGAAGGGAAAATACTTTACATGTGTAAAGACAAGGCTGCAATAAGTTAGTTTTTTTCTTCCTGTAAAATTGCTGACTTGTGTGACTGCAATCACAGCAAAAATGATGTTCCGTAAGATTTTTGAGTTAGGCTTTGGCAGACAGGAGGACCCTGGAAGACTTACAAGTCAACTGTTTTCTCATCGGGTGAAGTCGCGAATGCAAAAAACTAAAATAGTTGTTTAAGAGTTAGGCTTAAATAAGAAATATTGAGGCTTTCAGTTCAAGCCTGATGGTAAAAATATTGTTAATCCTTTGGACCAAGGTTAGAATATGGCGTGTTGATTTTCCAGTTCGACTGAAAGGATACTCTTCTCATAAAATGCGCTTTATTTTTTTGCTCTTTTAGTATGCAGCTTGAAGAAGGAAGCTGGAAACCATTTGATCTGGACTTTTAATTAAAAATGCAGGACAATTGAAAGCAGCAGAGGAGACCTTTGTTAATACCAGTCCAAAGTCTAGGTGTTAAGTTGGTATGCATATAGGACCACTCCTTTCAATGACCTTCGAAATTCGGAACAAGTTAACTTGAGAGTAGGTGAATAGTGAATCTTGCATCAGGGCGAAGAATCTGCTGATCACTTGCAAGGCTCTTTGATGTGGTGTCCTAGGGCAGTCATAGTTACCTTAGTCTAAGTTTTTGCTATGGCAACAAGAAAGAAGCAAATTCAAGGATTTCGTCCCCCTTTTGCTACAGAAAGAACCTGCTCGGACTAAGGAGCAGAAATGTTAAATTTACGGTGAATCACAGTCAAGGGGAACGGCTTGACTACTCACTGCTTTAACATAGTCTCAAAATAAATCGGAAGTTCACGATTCATTTGCAAGGCTTATAGTTAATGGTTAGGTGCCACCTTACCTGGCTAATCTCTAAACCCCGGATGCTAAACCCTCCAAGCCTACACACGCATCTAATCGACTTAGCAACCAAGTTAGCGCACATACGCACGTACAGAACTGGCTTGGTGGCCACCCAACCCACCGCTCCTTTCACTCGCTCGTCTCGCCCGCCTGCCCTCTTGCGTCCGAGCACGTGCAGCTGCGCAGTCAGCGTCAGCGACACCAACTGCCAACTGTTCGCGTCTTCAAGGGGTCCTGACAGCTGCGAAACCGCATGCAACTTGCGTCCTGCGTGGGTGCATGCACCTGGGCCCTCTCTTGTTAAACAGGCCCACAGGTCTACGCACGTGAATGCATGAATGCGCACCCGCTCGTTTGTCCGCTCACCCCTATATTGACACTGAGGGCACAGCTGTGCGGTCTCTTGCGCTATTACGACACCTGGTACGCATGTGTGTGTCTCCATGGCCGAACGTCTCTTCACCTCCATGTCTCTGTGTCTTCTAAGGGAAAACGAGGAAATTCGGAGTATGTGGTGATAGATATCACTATACTTCATGCTCCTTTGCGGAGATGTAGCACTATTGGCTAGGAAAGGAAGAATCCACCACTTTGGACTTTTTCGCTTTATGTTGAGGTTGAATAAAAAGCCCGATTATACGAACCAATCCTCACTCAGAGCAATTCATTTGCCTTGTTGAAACCTTTCGTAAACACCTCGCTAATCGGTGAGAAACGGCAGTGTAGGGTGATTGCTGGCCATGAGACTGTAACGGTTCGGACTCTTAGGACTGTTAAGTTATCTCTCGTCTGATGATACATATTTACTGCACTCAGGTCTTGATGTCAACAAAGTGGGAGAATAAATTTTGACTATGAGTCTCTCCTGAGACAAGGTCGAACCTTAGGGAGCCGAAGTAAATATTACGCATGCAAACTGAGAGGAATCAGTCTTAATTCCGAACAGTTTAGGTTAAACAAGAAATATGATTTACTTGGTACTTCTAGAAGCCATTTCTGAATGTCACAACAGACCTTTCGTTTGCCTTGACTTGTGAGCCATTTAGAGCCAATCTTAAAAGATTGATAATGTAAGACACTTAATTTGCGTATCTTTTTTTACCGCCTAGTAATTCACTATAATTACTTAGTTTTTATAAAAGTAAAGTAACACTATTGATTAGGTCGTTGCTACTGTTGCAAACACAGTCTACAACCTTTGCTTTTCGAACCCAGAAAGCACTGTTAAACTTGTTTCATTTCAGACAATGATGGTGGGAGACAGTTCGGGAAACGTGTACGTTTACGCAATGAAGAATTTCCCTGAGGCGGGCTCCGCAAACGAAGAGGTAAGGATTTAACTTTTAACTCTTCCCAATACTACTGCCACTGTGCAGATTCCAGGATTGGCTGCTCCTACTACTAATGGATGTCCCGTCTTCTTCTTCTTTTTTTCTTTTTAGGCGGAAAAACTGAATTCCATTCTGCTCTCCTGTTTCTCATCCCAAGTGCCTACGTAGATGGGTGCTTCACCAAAGTGTCCTTTATGCACGCATCCGTTATTAAATCTGCCCCTGTTTTGGCTATCTCCTTTAATGCTTAACAAATGTAAAGCGTTGAAACTTATGCTTAGTTGAAGCATCAAATGCGAGTCATATTGAGCAGTCACCGGAATAACTTAGTCATTTGGGCTAATAAACTGTTGCAGCCATACCGAACACGAAACCAACTACAAATGCAAAACACCCAGTGGGGCATTTATTAACTTGTATTTAAAAAGATCATTTTTACATCTACATGCCTGATAATAGCTGTAAGGTATACCGATTGGATTTGGTCGCCTTCTAAATTTTCTAGTTAGAATCGTAACAGTGCGCCATCTTGCCTGAGTGGTATACGCAGGAGATGGAGGATAAACAAATGCTTTATCTTGTTTTAGAGTTATTAAGGGGTTTATGTGTATAAATTCACTTTTGGTAATGGGATCCTTAGCCTTCAAATCACTTTCGATGTGAGCATAATTAAAACGAGCAATAATTGCCCGTGGAAATCACGTAATCGTGCTTATGATTGCGTGAATTAACACATTTACTTATATTGTTTAGTACCAAATGCGATGTAATTGTCCCCGTGACCATGTGTAATGGCTTTCCAAACACCAATATTTATGAAGGGAATTACTTAGGCTAAGCACATTAAAGGTACGTTATGTACTGACCTGACCTGTTCGAACATATACCTGAATAAGTTGACTAGCTGTCCCGTGAGTAACCATCCAGACTTGCTAAGCTGCAGCAAGTACTCGAGGTGCTACTCTAGCAACAACGGTAGGCAGGGATTTTGATGGCCAAATGCAACGTCTAGATGCCTCAAGAGAAAAAATTCGCTGTTCGTGCCTGAATCCATGATGGTTCACACATGAAAGACAATGAAAACCGTATCAAGTGATGTTGTCCTTTAATTAGATTCCTGAGCAATCAAAGAAAATTAACAAAGGTATGAAAGAGTTCTTACCTACCTATCCATATCAAAGACCAAGGACCTTCTTTGTTTCGCATTAGGATATATAGAAAACTATCCTGGTGGGATATATTGAGAAATTAAAAGTGCAAATATCTTAATCGAGTGAATACATATTTGCACTTAAGATTAGGTAGAAGACTTACATAATGTTATTGTTGTGGTTCTAAATTGACTGGAATATCTGACATTAATAAGTTTCCATAAGTAAGACAAACCACCGGCCGATAAACAATAACAATAACCACAATTAAATGCATGAACAAAAAAAAATAATTTTTTAAACAATTTTTGGTTGCTTGCAGTCAAATAAACAAGTTCATTGTTGACCTTGATTTGTTACAATCCACAGCTAAGCGTTTACCACCTGATCTTAACCGCGCGTTACGGACGCGGTGTAAATTCTGTTCGATACGTAGTGTCGTTCGGTTTGGAGGTTGGTTTGGCTGATATATGCAGAACCACAGATGAAGCGACAGCTTGAAGACCCCATAAATGTATCTAGGAGAAAAAGCCGACGTCTGGATTCAGACTTATGCAGTGAAAAATATGTTTCCGAAGTGTTGTCTTTGTTTGACATTAGTGCGATGTCAGTCGCCTATCATTTACCATTCGAATATGTCGAGTCTACTCTGGTGCATGTACCAGATCCTGTTCAGGAGCGTATAATTTTTTATTCGTTTCCTCGGGATAGCGCCGATATAAAAACTTATTCGTCTTTCATGTCATACAAAGCGGGTTCATCTGAAAACTCTCCTTTCTCCATCGGAGAGCAAATATTTCAAAGAAACTGCGTAGAGGATGCCATTCAAATAGGCAATTTGGACTTATTATGCACATTAAGCATTCTTCTACAGGTTTCCATCTAACGGGTGTGGTAAAAACCGATGGCAATATTCGAGGTTTATTAGATTCAAAAACCTACAAAGTTTCCATGACTTTTGACAGGTGCTACAGCTCATTGCTTTTTGTGACACCTTACTTAGGTGCAAAATTACGTCCGTTTGCTGTACATGCAACAGCCGTGGACTCTCCTGGTGCCCGCATGCGGTGGCTCTGGCACTTTTTCGAATAAACAGGCCTGGTGGTGTAAATTATCGCGCCCCAATATCTGGTGAGTTGGCGAGCTTACTTCACTTTTATTGGTTTTGAGGCTTTATTCCTATAAGTTTGGGGTCTTGCAATAAAATGGGTATAGTTTTTATTATTAGCCTCGTATTTTTCCCCGTTCACATTAATTTTATCGTTGACTTGGAACGTAGGATCATATCCTTTTGATTGGCTGATTTACAAATTACAAAAAAGGTTTATCCATCATTCATTATTATGGCTTTTCTCTTTGTTCCAGGCCAAATTATTAAGCTCTAATCCATCATGCAGATTTGTGCATTTGGTGACTTGGGAATTCGATGCATAGGGACCTTAATTGATTTCATGTTTACCCAACCTAAATTCATTGTTTGTTTAGCAAATATACCCTGGACAAATAGTCTTCTATTTAATCATGCTAGTTTTTTTAGTTTTTATCAATGATTTGCTCGGCGTTTGTGACGCGGACTTCGTGTTGAAGTCCCCATTTTTTTCAAAGGCGTAATCATGTGATCTGCCCTGCAGGATGATTTCCCGAGCATTGTCTAAGCAGGAGTCTAGTGCAACCTTTTGATTCATTGAGACGGTATGGGACAGTATTTTTATGCATTAGATACAATTACCTTCCGCGAATCCGAAAGAAACCTTAGCTTTGGGGCTGGCGGTGTCCGCTCCCTCTGGCATTATTGCATTTGCGTTTGGGGTTTTAAGAAATCTGGTGCTTCTCTCACAGCCACCGCACTAGTCGAGTTAAGTCGCGAAGATGACTAATAGCATGTCATTCTGCCAATAGGACACGAAAGAGAATTCTCAATGGGTCGGTTTCTGCGCTCTTAGGCTCCGACCAGTATGTGGTGAGGGCGCCTTTGGAGGAAGCTCAGGAAACAGGGGGTTAAAAATAAGGCTTTTTCGCGATAGATAACCGCGCACAAGTCTTCGCGTCAATGAGGGAGCATGATAGGGCACGCACATGTCCCATCAACCATTAATCTACCCCTTTCCTCTCCACCACGAGCTCGCAGTAGCTGACTAGGAGCAGTCAGAAATATTATTTAGCTTCTCTTTGTCGAAAAAATTTTTCCATTTTCACTAAATCTCATGCTTTTGTGTGGCCTCTTTCTCAAAATCCACTACTTTTTGGAACTTTTCTTTGCTTCTCTAGATGTCATTGTTTCAAATATTCCTCAATCTCAATAAAACAATGGTTTCGTGTAAGCTAATTCGTGCCCTATGGGAGGTCGTATTTAGGATACACCTCATTATCGAGGCACTCTTTTACTGTAGGCCCCAAACGTTACAGCCTCCCTATTTGATACTATTTTTACGCATCCGCTTCTCCTCACTGGCACCGATTTGGAACCATGAGCTTTCAAAAAACGGAGATCATGTTTAGAGCATATTCGCCTCATAATCACCAGACGGTACCCTCCGGAGTTAGTTTTTATCCTCGCTCATGGTGACCATTGAGTCTTTGCCGGATTGTGTTGTTTTGAAGGACCTGGTATTTTTTCAAATGCTAACGTTTTTAGAGCCTACTTGATGTTTGAGGCATGAAGATACCCGTGAGTTTCGGGTGAAATCTTCGATTTGATTGGCTGAAGCGAAACCATCACCTGGCTGGTTACCCAAGATGGCCGAATTCGCTTATCTACCTGAGGAGAGCACTCATTGAAATGGTGGTTTGTCACTTCCAAGTTTTACGCCACTTACCAATCACGTCGGGCGATGTCGTGAATGTGTCCAAAATTCTCCCTTTTTAAGTAAATTGATCTTGCCTCACTGGCTCAAATTTCACGTCTATTGGCTAGAAGTTAAATTACCTTACAGATAAATGACTTTCTTTTAGATGAATTTTTTTCATTCACCCCCAAAGTTTAGGCTATAATCTACGGCTGGCAAGGTATTCTAACGCCCCTTATCGCCTCCTCGCATCTAACATTTACACGGACCTGTGTTATTCGAGTCCTGCGTGGACTCCAGTTAGACGTTTACATTTGCATCAACAAGTTGACTAATGTTTGTAAATGCAACGAATCAACTACCCATTGTCTGACCAGTCTTCTTCCACACTTTGTTGATATTACGACCCCGCATAATGTGTCCTACGCGTTCCGATTCACATGCACAATGTTTACTTGTGAGCCCTCTTTACCCAAATCTGGCATCTGACCGAGCAAGTTGATTGCATGGTAAGCGTATTCATTATTGCAAGCAAATGACAAGAAACCTCTTCTGTAACGTTCTAAACACTTATTTTAAACAAAGAGCATACAAACTTCGTAGATAAAACAGGGATATCCAATTTGTGAAGAGTCTTTGTAAATTTTTTTCACTACTAAACCACTTTAAGTGACTCTTTAATGGGATCCTCGTATTTAGTCAATCATATTCAATCCAGTCATAAATCATGACTGATGGATTTGGAAATTTTGCTTAGTGGAGTTTGGCATCACCACTGGATTTATCGTTAATTTCAGTTCCCCCTCAAAAAGTAGGGTATACTGTTACACATGCCTCCAGTTCCCCATAATTCCAAGTCTTCATCTCAGAGTTACATTCGATCAGTCGGAAAGTCGAGGCTCATCCCAGTTCGAAATGTTGAGCCCGTTAAATTGGCCTTTTTCCCTGAGGCACTTTAGCTGTTGAAGCAGTTTTTGCCTAGCGCAGAAGTGGACACATCTGCGAGCTTGAGTGGGTAAGTGGGGAAATTGTGCTCTAAGTAGTTGCGGCATTGTTATTTACGTGTCTACTCAGCTAGGCTTGACACCATCATCGTGGCTTGAGGTACTGGTGTGTCGTAGCGTCACAACGAGAAGATGGCCGCTGTCAGCCGTTTTGGCGACTGCGGCTGCCTTGGCTAATTCCACTGCTCCGTGCATCAAAATCTCAGAGCCTGAATGATTTTAAGCGCTTCCCTAGTCTACTTCTCGCTCTGCTGGGCACTGTGCCCCCTCTCTTGTGAGCCATGACTTCAGTGCAACTAAACCTCCCAGTTGTCATAATTTCGACTGTGATGGAGGCCAAGTGAACTTGTTTAAGGTGATTAAGGCCCTGTACTCACTATCGCGTTTTGGAGTTATTCTACAGGGGCTATACTTTGCAACATCCTTATACTGCCGTAGTTCGAGTGATACCTCGGCTGTCCGAAAGCCTATCACAAGCCATAGCCGGTAGTACACTTTCGCAGCAATCGGTACACCTCCCTAAATTGTTTACTGTGGCACCAACCCGAAGTGGGTATTATCTCTTTCACGCAAATTAGCCAAATTTTCCGTTTGAAATTTATCCTATGTGGAGCAGCTAGCCAGGCAAACAGGCTGGCTGGCCACCCCGTCCTCTGAAAGAACTGCGACGCATACTTAAAAGTGTGTCCGACGGCCAAACTTCGCACTTACTTGAGGATAGGCCGTCAGCCAGCGCTGTATGAGCCCTGATGGGAAAAATTTGCTCAACTTCCCATCCAATTTACGTTCTAGACACGCTGGTAAAAATGGACCGCGGTCAGCTGCAGAAGTTTGCTCAATACTTAATCGCCTCGCACCCCAATCGCGTGCTAGCAAGTGCTCAACACCTCGCCGACAGACTTCTTCAACGTGACTCTCAATTGAATAAAACCTATGGTGAGTAATTTTGTGGCTTTTCACTTCCATTGACCCCCAAAATCCTACAGCTAGGCATCGTCAGATTTCACCCGGTCTCCTTAGGGATTGATGTACCAAGGACTCATCCTGGGTTATCCTCGAAGTTGTCTTTTGCGAGGATGTAGATTTTGCCCGTACGATGTTTAAGTGGAGAACCATGCCCTTTCTCGAAGGATGGGTCCGTTGCTTTTGCAGGTCTTTCCAGCCTCCATAGTTGTTCACGCTTTCTCCAGCTAATCGATGGATCTAGGAGAAGACGTATCTCCAAATTTGATGGTAATGAGGATTCCTTGTGGTATAATGAAGTCTCATTAGTTGCAGCAATTTACATAGAACTTGGGTGTATGCTAATTCCAGGCGAGGCACACGGATCGAAGCAAGACCGAAGGAGAATGAACACCGGAATCTCACCCCGGTTCCTTCCACATCCCATTCTCACTTTGCATGCCTAAGGGAGAGAGTGGGTGGGTTTGGTCTTTTCCTTGGGTCGCCTTATTCACGCCAATCGGGTGAGGGCGGTAACACATCTGTTGGCACTGGCACCCGCGCGCGTTCGCATCACCTCCCCCCCCCCCCCATTTTTCATACTCCAGCATCTCGTTCAATCCACGGTGTTTATATTTATCCTCTCACTAGCAGGTAGCTAGCCCGATAGAGAGAGAGGCGACAGATAAGTCAGCTGATACGAGAGACTGACAATCAGGTGTGTGCTATCCTGTGCTCCCTTTTCTCTTCCACAAACAATCTTCATTTCTTGGGTGCAGCGTCGAGTGAATGAGCGAGCCAGGGAGGGACTGTGTGAGCGAATGAGTGAGTAAACACCGGATGGTGAGCGTGAGAGCAGTTGAAAAAATCCTCTAATTGGCAGGCCGCACAAACGCCGCTGAATGCTTCTAGTCCACCAGCGTGATGTGTACGTGTACATGCTTGGACTTCATTTAATTTTCACTAGAGGGGGAGGAGCAGTGTAGTATAAGCCAAGACTACAGGGTCACATGATAGTCCATGAGTTCTTTTGGCAAGTCAAACACTACTCCTGAACTGCGCTTACTGAAACACAGTTGTTCCACTTCTCGTCCCCTCTAGAGACACAGAAGTCATGAAACGGAATCTTACCATCCAATTTCACCGCACTTTCATTTTTATACCCTCCAAAACCAAGCCCTAGTGGTTTGCTAGAGGCGGTTATTGGAGCGAAGACTGAGCTTGGCTTTCCCTTATACTTTTGTGAAATAAAAAAGGACCCAAAAGTGCGGCCACAACAACGAAAGGTACTTTAGCGTTAACGACATTGGCAAGAAGATCGCTCTGTGAGGATAAGCGCATTCAGCGCAGCTGGGCACAGCGGTGTGTCTAGACTGTTATATTGCATCTCCTTTGCCGCGCTTTTCGCTTTTTGTCGTGTCACCTCTCCTTTTTCGAGGGAATCGACCACACCCAAATCCACGTGACTGTGTGCGGTGTGTAGATGCGTTTTGACTCAGGATTTACACAACCTCTTCCAGCATCTTTCTACTCTATCACTTGCTCAAATTCCCGTCAAAGTTTCTATGTAATGCACAGTTGTACCAAGTTTTCAAGGAAGTTTAGCTTCTTTATTTAGCAGTTTGAAATATGGCTCTAATTAATCTTAACTAGCTTGTGCGTTTCATGGGTTTGTAGAGGTACCCTAGAATTATTCTTTTACTCCTTACTAAGCCCCTCATTATAAAACTGATTTTCCCTAAATGTACCCGGTTTTGAACCACATCTACCTTTCATTGCGGTCATAAAGACAATCCGTAGTATTGTAACTCAAAATTTGGCAGGAGACGCATAAACAAGAGCACTACAGTCGGAGTATGAATGCAGTCTTTATTATTCACTCGCATAAAAGCATAACCTCTTCACCGCCTATTGTGCGAGAGCTCTATCCACTGCGGGGGAGGAGGAGGGGTACAAGATTGACTGTCTGTGTCATTTTCACTCATCTTTGTTTACTTCAGGCCGGTTCTAAAAGTCCTCCTCGGCAGTAACCAGCAAGAGAGAATGGGAGAGGTGGAGGTGTAGAGCTTCAAGCCTTGTTTACGCACAATTTAATTACTTTAGCCTTTAACTAGCAACCAATCCGACCACCTCGCGTCCGGTTTCTGCATGTGAGAGACAGCATGACTCACATGCTTTGCTGGTGTGCGTGCTTGCGTGTCCCCTCCTGCTTCCACAATTGCATTTTCCGCCTCACCACCACCCTTGCTACTCCTCTCTTGTGAAAAGAGGGGAGGAAGAGGAGAGGGGCAGCGAGGTGGAATGAAGTGGAGCGAGGTGTACGCGCCCTTAACGTAGCACACAGCTGATGAAGAATGAAGCCTCGGGTCGGTGGTGGGTATGCGTGTGGGTATGCTGAGTTGGCGTGTCTGATGTCGATGCTCAAGCTATAAATCTAGCAACAACTAGCTTACCAATCTCCCTTTCCTGTTGACCGCACGAACTGTGGGATTACTAGGCTGTCCGTATAAGCTCTCTCGACCAGAAGGGGTTTTGCACGTGGGAAAGTGAAGCTCTGCTCATCTGAATTCTGTGTATCTGGAATGCTAGACTTCCGTATGCTCTCCATGTGCCATCACCTCTTCATCTACCATTAGTGTGCTGGTCTGGCTGGATGCCTTATACACCTCTGCCTAATCCACAGCACTGACGGCAAGGGAGAGGCGAGTGGCCTTTTGCATTTACGCGCCAGTAGATGCCCTTTTTCCAGAAATACACTGACCGGACACATGCACTCGCCCATTGGTTGTCCCAAGGTCACCCCAACAAACACCTGCGCTTGTGTGGCTGCTAGGTCCTGCTCTTCCGAGCGAAAATTGGTACATTCTGCCCGCTGAGCACTTCATTTCGTTCGCTTCATTTTGACATATCTATCAGATGATCCACTAACTTGACTTCGCCATTTTCCCGATGGTTTTCTACGCTAATCATCTTGACAAACAATGGATCATGTGTTCAACCTTAGCTCGTCATTAATCGGCTGTTTTTATCAACCCGCAATACCTGTCAGGATCGTTGTTTTAAATAATAATGCTTTCGTCGTACTCGCGTGTTGGGAACGTGCGGCAGCTAGAACCCCAGGGCTTTTGGTCTATTAGGGTACTATTTTTTTCTACTCAGTTGCCGAACCTACACGCATTATTATGTGAAACTGTACTGATGATGTTGTGAGACTAATCGCTTGGAGCTTGATCATTGGTCTGTTGAAATGACCATCGCGTCGGCAAGTAAGGTGTCTGGGCTCCACAATAATGGTCACGATATTCTTTCGTCTGAACTGCAAATCAAACTGGTGCCAGCAGGCACAATCTACCGCATTGGGTGCACATAAGATAAGATGGCATTTTCGTCGCAAATGAAATAACTTCTTTTCCTTATCACCACCGTTTCCCAGCTCTTCCACTGTTGGGTTGTAAGGGAATGCTTATGCAACCCTTTGGGTGTATAAATTGTTTTCAAAGTAATTTTTAGACAACAACCTTGTCACGGACCATCTGAGGCCGGGGGAAATTTCGACCTTTCATTAATCTCTTGAAGCCTCCTGGTTCTAAAAAATTCCAGAAGTCGACTATCTGAATGTAGTGTCCTCGCATGGAAAACTGCATTTCAATTTCGTTGTGAATTCACATCCCGATTTGTGAGTACTTTCAACAAATCGCACGAATTCCCACAGCTCAAAAACACGCGCCACGCTGTGTTCCAGATTTTCCTTCCCCATCCATCCCCACTAGTATTCTCATCGTTTATGTGGGTTTGATGTGGCTGAAAAAAAAACAGTTGGCCACGTTTGTCAACATTTTTTTCCAGTCCATCAACCTTTGTGATTTCAGAGCCTAGGTGGGCGGGCCTTACGCTATGCATGCTTCTCTCTCACTGCTTACCATCCGGACGTGTGAGTTTGGGTTTCTACTGATTGAATCAGCTTGTACCTGCACCCTCTAATCGCTTGTCCGATGCTCCCGGATTCGCTTTTCATAGTTGTGTCGCCAGTACTCAAACTAATCTTCTATTCCAAGGGTTCACGTGTCTAGTCATCATACGATCTGGACAGTCTTCTCTACCAAAAAGGACCTTAAACTGGACGAGCTGTTTTCGAATGCAGCGGAGCATTAGCCTGCTTCTCTCTCTTTCATATTCTGTGTCGACTTGAAGTCGCAACATGCCTGGTTAAAGTGTTTGCATTCACAATGCCAACTTTGGAAGCCTTCATGCTCGCTCATACGTAAATACCGTCCCTCCCCCTCCCTTTCATGAAATCCTCAAGCCTTTTTAGCAAAGGCTGTAAAAGGCGCGAGCTTTCTCAGGATCCAAATTATGCCCTACCTAATACCTGGCTTGCTCGCCTTTAGTTCGGGAAGGCGCAGGTGCTAGCATTTGAGCTGGGCTAGCTGAAGCCGGACATATCTTCTTCCCTATCTCCTAGTCTGTAGCCAGAGGGTGATTTGGCTTTGGGCATGCTGCAGAGTTTGCATAGTCTCGTCTGTTTGTCTAACGAGGTCACGACTCAACTCCCGGATCAATTATGCATGCAGTAGGGAAGCAAAGGCAATGGCAATAAGCAAAATTCTCATCTTCTGCGATTCATGAAGAATTCAGGAGATCTTTCATGCAGGAAATGTGAACCACTGCCTTGAAATTATCTTTTGCAGTCCTACGGCCTTTGAAAGAAGCAAAATCCCATAGTCGAGGGTGATACTAATTCTCTGTATTCCTTCTCATTAGATGGAAAGCTTTTACTACTCCGGCTTATGCCGTCGCCAGAGTGAGCATTGGGTCACCGGCTGCGATATTGTTGAGTGCTAAGCTTGTAAAAACCTGATTCGTTTGAATTATGGAAAGGAGATGATGCTGATAGGGTAAGAAAAGCGTCGTGATGGTGCTGCGTCATTAAACTGCGGAGTTGTTGTGTCTAAAAGTGGGTGTCGCGTCTGTCTAGGAAGCCGAGCAAATGCGAC